TTGGTAAACTACTTTTATCTGACGACAAATCTTAAAAGTTGCGGGCGAAGCACCCCTAGTTGATGAAAAACCTTTCATTTTTACAATGAAATTTTTTCCAAGGGTGTGCCACACCCCACCCCGGTCCTGATTTCTGCCCCTTATTTTTGTGCTCGCATTAGGGAATGAGAAACGAAAAGTTGTGGCACGTTGTGAAAGAAAATCAGAAATCTTGAGCTCGTTTGGAAAGCTTTTATTGACAAGCAACCACAAAAGTTTATCAGAAATATTTGATAAATAGTTTATGATAAATAATTATCAGAGGTATTTATCAGAAATCACAAATTTCGAGAAATTTTTAATGTTTAAAAATCACAAATTTTTATGATCAATTACAAAGAAACGTTTTAACCAATTGTTCATAAACGAAAGAAAGAATCTAGAAGTTGCTTACAGCACAGCCCCCCTTCCCCAGCTTTTTTGGATGGCGCCCCTGGCTTTAGTCTTCAGCAATGAGTTGATATTTCTTTCGTGTTAATAACTAGAAATATTCTTGAAAATTTTCTACATGGACGATTTGGAAAAAGCGTTTTCACGTCAAATTAATCCTTCTGTCTTCATTTCATCTTCATGTCTGCATGATAAAAGACACGTTTTCAGAAATATCATTTGATTTTTAGGAATTTTACGGCGATGAAATTTTCTTAAAGAAAATTAAAATACTCCAAAAAAATACAGTATCAAAATTATCAACATCATAATCAAATTAAAAATCAAATCACGATCAAAAACATCTATAAAAGTTTTAGAAAAATCTGTATCCGATTAAACTGCATCTTAACTATTATGTTATCTATAAAAATTTACATAAGTTCTAGAAAAAATGGGTTTGTTTAAGCCCCCCCCCCACGGCTCCAAGGGTGGTGTACGTTGGAGTGAAAAGGGGTGGAAGTGTTCTGATCAAAGCATGACGTCGAACTCATATTAGGAACAAGCAGAAGATTTGGAAGCAGGGGGGGAGGGGCTGAGGGATCTTGCCCACCAAAAAAATTTCCAAAACTTCCAAAGGCTGATGGGGTTAAATTTTTCTCTGAAACTGAAGGTCGAAGATCAATCTACGGAGAGAATTGATGACACTACAGATCACAAAGGAAGACATGAAACACGCGGGAAAACTGCGAGAGTTTGGATTACCAACGCTGAAGCAATTTTCTATTGAAGAAGCCATCATAAGTCATCCATGGGAAAAATCTATTCGGGAAGCAGACAGTGTTTCCTAAATAAGCCTATTTGAACAAAATTAACAGCGGCAATAAGACTTTATTTGATAATAAAAAATATTAATGAGGGGAAACTGTAGTCTCACTTTTGAAAGAGGGTAGAGTTTAGTGACTAAGTACTCAACACTCTTGAGGGGCATTGAATTGATTCAAATGGTCGAAGTTTAGAATCAACAAAAATTGTATTACATACCGTAAACCTTCGAATTTTCAACCCGTATACGCCCCCCTTTCGAATACGCCCTCACCCTAGACGTTAAAAATCTTAATAAGCCCACACCTTCGAATTAGCCCCCATCCTAACATGTCAAAATTTGCGCTTGAAGGGTGGTGTGGGGTGGTGTGGGGTGGTGTTGCTGTATGCACCAGAAAATTTCTAGATATTTCCCTCTACTCTTCGTTATGAGTGTCTTTCCTAAACTATTTTCGATCCGGTTCGATATCGGTTCAAATTTTCGACTAGTGATTTCTAAAGGGGTTGAGCACCCTACTCATAATTTAAACTCCCTACCCCTGTGGATTCTTTGTCGATTACATGACGTCGTCTGGTCTAAGTTGCAAACGATATTCAAACAAAATTTACAGCATTTCCACATTTACTTCTAAATAGCACCAGAAGTATTGGCGATAACCATTCAATGATTAGATTTCGGCACCTGGCCTTAAACTACTAAGCTTTTTCAAAGAAAAAAATAAAAATAAAATTTCATATTACTGTATTAGAAAAGAGAGTGAAAGTGAAAGATCAGCGAAAGAGGCAAAAGGTTGCAGCCAAAGGTCATCACTGCAAGGCCAACAGTCGAAGGCCAAAAATAAACCAAAGGTCGAAAGTCAGCCGTTCAGGTCAAAAAGAGTATTTAATTTTACTTGACTTCATCACGATGAAAATGTTAAAGAGCTATAATTTTTATTACAAGAATGGAACTTTTAACTCATATCTTTCTCTTTTTCGATTTGTCAACTTTTGCATAAAACCTAAAAACGAAAAGAAAATGAAACCCAATAGAAATAAAAAAACTAGAAGATTTAATTTTCTCAAATGTTTGGGAAAGGAGCGACCACTTCAAGAGCACATGTAGTGTATGATATCGTGATCGTTTGGGGGGAGGGGGGGGGGGTTGTGATCAGCAACTGTCCATAATTAGGCATGAATTCCAAAATTCACCACCATGATGAGATATTTTGTTATAGAATAGGGTTGAAGAGCGGATTAAGGGTAGTGGGGCTGACTAAGGTGAAGGGAGAAAGTGGTGTCAGCGGAGTAGCGGGACAATGGGGCATCAGGGGGCAACATGAGATATCTGGGGTAAGTGAGGTTATATTGGGGGTAGCTGAGGACATCTGGGGTAGCTGATGTATCTTGGGGTTAGCTAAGGACATCTGGGGTAGCTGAGGTTATATTGGGGTAGCAGAGGACATCTGGGGTAGCTGAGGTTATATTGGGGTAGCAGAGGACATCTGGGGTAGCTGAGGTTATCTTGGGGTAGCAGAGGACATCTGGGGTAGCTGAGGTTATATTGGGGTAGCAGAGGACATCTGGGATAGCTGATGTATCTTGGGGTAGCAGAGGACATCTGGGGTAGCTGAGGTTATATTGGGGTAGCATAGGACATCTGGGGTAGCTGAGGTTATCTTTTGGTTTGCAGAGGGCATCTGGGGTAGCGGAGGACATCTGGGTTCTGGAAGGCAGTACACTTTCCATCCAATGCACATCTTTAAAGTAATTTCAACAACCGAATGATTTGCTGCTGCCTTTTGCCTTAATGTAAACGTACTAGCCGCACCCCCTCTCAATCTAACGGTCATATTCCCCGATGGTCATTGGCTGCAAGCACCAAATTTTGACAACAATCTAAAAAAATTGATAACTTACGTTGCTGGGTCTAAAGATACCATAGGACCGTTGATATCGAAATCATCATCGAGTTGTTGTGACGGATCCAAATTCACATACGGGACTGTGTCCTTCTTGTTCATTGGTTCCTTGACCCCAGCACCATCGTCTTCTAAGTTCCCGTATGTTGGACTGTCAACCTCCATCTGGTCAACGACATTTTTGCGAGAATCATAAAGAGAGTTGAGGTGAACATTCGATTTTGGAACGTCACTAAAATCAAGATGCGCATAGCCTTCGGCTTCTGTCCCCCGATTGGCACCAACTTGTACCCCCAAGTGGTCATAGGCCTCTTCTGTAACGAAATATCTAGCATCAGAAACAATTTTCGATACTAAAATTTAAGATCATTAAAAATGTAAGATGGTTAGATGATGATAACTTTAGCTAATGTTAGTTTATAAACGATAAAAAGGAACGCAGCTAAACGAGGAGAAGCAATCGAATATAGCTAATACAAACAAATTCAGTATGAAAAGTCAAAATATTATAATTAAAGTTTTCATTAAATACCATCACTTTTAGCAAACCGTCATCAAATAAGATTATGATTATCATAACCATTTTGAAGTTCGGCAACGAATTTTCAATTTCATACCAGTTTTCGGCATAGCTTGTCCAAGGTGACTGTATTCACCCCCGGTCCAGCTGGTAAGGTTACTGTAACCATTACCATTTGCAGCTGCTTGCACGGGGGCTTTGTTAGTACTAATAGTGTTTCTTTGCAAAGTGTCATAGCACTCTTCATTTCCGGGGGACGCATTCAACTGAAGATTTTTGAAATATACTGGATTTCCGCCAGGAGATGGTTTTGTGACGTCATAAATTGGATTTGGAGACGGTGTCTCATAAGGAGTGTTGGAGCTTGGTATAGAATCAATGTCCTTTGTTTCGTCATGTAAGTTGTTAACAAGGCCTCGCATAGAAACACTGAAAGGAAAAAAGAGGCCATTGGGAACAGTTTCGTATCAATAACAGCGTACCAAAGGAGAAAACTAGGGGGGAGTCTAAAAGGTAAAAAGAAAGAAAGGGACAAGACGTCAAAGGGCAAAAAAAAGCACTGAGGGTGCCAAAGAGCAGCGAAGAAAGAAAGGGGTAAATACCAAAGGGCCAAGAAGAAGCACAGGGAAAAATGCCAAAGGGCCAAAGGGCAAAGGCACCGGCAAGAATGCACAAAAAAATACAATTCAATTCAACCCGAGTAAGCAAATACCTGTCTTTGGTTATCGCTCGTTTCGATTCCACGTGTTTCCTCCCTGCTCGTTTTCTCCAATACAGAAACCCCAGTACAATGAAAACAAGCGCCAGGAATACAACGACAATGGGGACTGCTATTGCTGCAACTGGCTTTTTTCCTGAAGCTGAGGAGGCGCCTAGAAGAAAAGACTGGACCTAATGAGCAATACGACCAGTGATCTCAAAAAAGACTGGATCGAGCTTCTCCAGCCCAGTGTTGATTCCACATTGCAGCGTCCATCTTGGGACCTGGCCGTGTGCCTGAGACTAGAGAGCAATCCTGTTGGTTCTAGTTTAACTGGCCATTTCATAGCAACAGAGACATCTCTCTGTAAAAGGCCAGATTCACGAACAATAAGCATTGCTTAAAGATATGAACGATTCAGGCTTGGTAGCATTGCTACAACATAAGATTACACGCCCTGCCATTTTGTCAAACACTTCGCTTTGATGATTGGTAAACAAAATCCTTCTAACACGTAGACTGTCCCGCACAAAATGTTTGCTTGCGGTCACGTTATCCCAGCCCCTTCAATGAGTTGTATTACGCTTAGTATTTTGAAATGACGTAATTGAAAATCTCTGCGTGATTTGTTTCAAGCATGAAAGAAAACACAAGCATTTTAGATGTTTGAAAGGTCTTAAGAGGCCACGAAAGATAATGGTTGGTACAGAATTCTAGGGTTATGTATTGCACTAGGCATAAACCATTATGTGTTAGCCTTGGATTGAAATTCTTGGAGTGGAGATAGGATCAAGAGTTGGAGTTAAAACATGGCATTTTGTCTCGTTTACTCTCTCGGTCTAGCGCTAGGTCGCAGCGGATCTTAGGCATCGCGCGCGGATACACAACAGGTGGCTACTATGGTTAAACGTGAATTGCAGCGAATGGGGTGGGCCGCGGTGATTGGGGTTGTGTGGGAGCGGATCAGAGTGATTTTGGTGATTTCAGCGTTACAAGTCAATTAGGGTTCTTAAGGATGTAATGTAATGCAGGCCCCACGGAGCGTTGAGAAAAGTGGGGGTCTACGAAAAGTATGGGGGGGGGACTAAAACCGAACAAAAAGTTGCTTGACTGGTGATTGATTGTTGGGGTTGATTGGAGTTACTTTGGTGATACCAGCGTTACACGACAGTTGGGGGTTCTTAGGGGTGTAGGGCTGAGCTGCCTGAGAGCAAACGGGTAAACATAGGCACTGCGCAGCCATTGGGCTATAGCCCCCCCCCAACCTTTGCAATGATAGGTTACACAATGTTTAGAAAGTTTTTTATAACACAACATTGGAAAATTTGCTGTAATTGATCGAAATGGAGCCAAAAGACAACTAAAGCGGGGAATCGAATGTAAGAAACGACGGGTGTATAGTTTTTATGCGGAAAATAGTCACAAAAAACAAATTGTCATTTGAAAATGAGACAGAAAAAAATGACAAACCTTTGCATAGGCCAGTCACGTGGTCGCATCCAGGACACTTGCATTTAAAGAGACAGTCCTTGCCAAAAAAACCATCGGCGCAAGCTGTTGAAGAGAAAAGACGTCGAAGATTGAAAGCATAAAATACAGTCAACAGATAAACAGATAAATCGACAACTTCTCCAAGAACGAGTCAAAATTCAAAAAGTCTAAAAATAAATTTCTATGACTTCATCATATTTCCACTCAATGAAGACCTGTTTTCCTGTCTTGTTACTCTGTAAAGCTATGGATACAACTGGTTACAACTGGTTACAAACTAGTTACATATAGATAGAACTGGTAATAACTGGTTACAACTAGTTACAACTAATTACAACTTGTTACGAACTAGTTACAACTGGTTACAAATAGTTAAAGCTTGTAACAACTAATTAAAGCTGGTTACAACTAGCTACGCCTTGTTACGAACTGATTACAACTGGTTACAACTAATTACAACTAATTACAACTTGTCACGAACTGGTTACAACTGGTTACAAATAGTTAAAGCTTGTAACAACTAATTAAAGCTGGTTACAAAAAGTTACGCCTTGTTACGAACTGATTACAACTGGTTACAAACTGTTTACAACTTGTTATAACTGGTTATACATACTTTCATTGCAAATGTAGCCTTTGTACCCAGGATCACAGAAGCATGAGCCATCCACATGGTGACAGTCACGTGACATATGTTGTTTGTCGCATGGGCAAGCAGATATGCAATTATCACCAAAGAAACCTTTATTGCATTCTGGTATCAAAACAAAAAAGAATTTTGGATTATGGCAACGGGAAGCTCAATTTTGATCATAGGTAAAAGAAAATAGGCCTTGGCTAATGGTAACTTATTTTCCTAGATAAAACACCCAATTCCCTTCTCTATATGTTTCTCTGTGTGTCCAGTTCAGTAGTCGTATAAATATTACTTTTTTTTCTCTTTGATATCTTAGGGAAGCTTGCTTAGGGAAGCTTTTCTTCGGGTTTATTAAAGAAGGCCTACATACAAACAGTAAATGAAGTCAACAAAAGCAGATCCAGTGAACTTGCTGATTACAATTGGGGCTCATAAGTTGCCACCATCAGTTTTCCAGATTGGTTTTTGAACAATGTGATTAAAAAGACATTTAAAAATGTCAGAACCACGTGTAAGAATAAGCAATGATTAAAGTCTTGATGTTTAGATATACGCAGTTAAGCAGATGTCTTCTACAATGATATGGTATAATCTGTGACGGAGGCTACGTTTGTACTTGACATTTACAAACGCGACTAGCAAGGACAAAAGACTGAAGAAAGAAAAGAATAAATATAAGTATATATAAGAATAAGTATAAGTATAAATAAGTATAGAAAAGAATAATATCCAAAGAAAATAATAAATATAAAAATCAAAAGTAATGGTGAAAAGTGGAATCCCCTTACGTTCAGTGCAGGATATCCCCTTCCAGCCTCTTTTGCATGGGCATTGACCACTAACTGCATCACATGTCAATGAATTCTTGGAATTTGTTTCATCGCACTTGCAATTTTGTGAGCAGCCTCTACCATAAGTTCCATTGACACAAACTAAAATTTGATTAGACTAAGCAAATGCTTATTTCATAGCAAAACAAGGACAGTTGAAAGCATAAGTAAGTTCACAGTTACACAATCAGCATCTAGAGTTGTAGACCTTCCAGTGACTGATTTATAGGAACGCTGATTGGTGAAGTTCCTATATTTAATTTTGGTTTTGTTGTTGCGAATGCTGTCGTTTTTATGTCTGATTTAACGTGCAGAAAACACGGAGCCAGCAAGAGACGATATTGCGTGACCGTTGCGTCTTGATGAATTTACTGACTGAATTAAATACAGGGCGTATACAAATAAAAACGAGGGGACGCTACAAATGTGTTGTTTATTACGTTACGTGGATACGAAGACAATGAAAAGTGTTAATGACAGAGACACAATGGAGGACATGATTACGTTTAGACAATAGTCACTACAGATTCATCCCCCGTCTATACAAGAATAAAACTACTCAGTAGCAATATAGACCAATGCACAGCGCTAGAGGGACGGAGGTGCTTCGTACTTAAAGGAGAAGAAGTTTTCCTCCTGTGTCGTGACAATAAGATCAATGCAATTTTTTACAAAAAGAATTTAGCATACCATTGCCACAGTTCTCTCCACGAGAACCATTATTGCAAGCGCAAACCCCCGTCGCTGGATTGCATGAAAGTGAGTTATTCTGGACACAGGAGCACAGCATTTGACAGCCTTCGCCATAGAACCATGCATCACAGGCTAGAATGGAAAACGATTGATTAATCTAACATAATCTGAAGCGATCTTAAAAAGATCTTTGGTTGATCGAAATAAGGATCGGATGTGGATTAAATGGGTTGGGAGACTTTGCAGGAGAATAGCAATTCTTGAAAACACTTTTGGGCAAGACATATGCCTTTGCTCACAACCCGAGCCGACAAATATCCCATTTTCAAAAAATTGAGGTCAGTTGAACATCTGAAAAGTTCAAAGGTCAAACATCCAAAAGATCAAAGAGAAATATGTTAAAGGTCTAAGGTCAAACATACGTCTTTTACACTTGTCTCCATGCCAGCCTTTTGTACATACGCATTTTCCATCAACAGGTTCACATTTGGCCTCGTTCTGGCAGTCACATGGTTTTGAACAGTATTCCCCAAACGAGGAGCCATCACACGCTGAAAAGAAAACCATCGATCTAGAATATGGGCCTAGACTTCGCAGCCAATCAAAAAAACTTTTTTATTGAATATTTCAACAGTCAACAGTCAAATTTATTGCCTAAAAACCAGACGTATCAGTAAACAAATAATATTCGATAAAAATATATAGACATATTTGAAAATATCAATTAAAGAACCACAATATTCAATCACGATTTTTCATACCTAATAAATCCTAGAGGCTCTTTAGATATCTATTGAAGTTACCTTAAAATACCATCATTCCATAAATCTCACGAAGTTGAAAAACTGACCTTCGTTACAAATTTCTCCCTTCCAGCCTGGTCGACAAAAGCATTTTCCTGTCACATGATCACAAGTTGCTCCATTGGAACATGTACAAGGTTGTCTGCACTGGGTACCAAAACTTCCACTTGGACATTCTGTTTGGTTATAACGGAAAACAATTGAGCTCAGAATACAATACAATACAATACAATACAATGCAATGCAATACAAAACAATAAAATACAACACACACAAAACACAATATAATGCAATGCCATACAATATAATGCAATGCAATAGAATGCAATACAATACAATTAAATACAATACACACACAACACAATATAATGCAATATCATACAATACAATTCAGAATGCAATACAGCGTGAAAGGATAGAGAGCAGGGTACAGAGTACAGATTAACGAGTACAGAGTACAGAGAAAAAATGCCATGTACAAAGTACAGAGAACAAAGTACCCAGTAGCGGACACGCCCCCCCCCCAGTTTTTGGCAGGATCAAATTTGTATTTCGCCTGAAGTGGATGAGAAAATGTAAGAGGAGGGGTAATATTTTGGCAACGTATTATTTGTGATGTAATTCTATGATTTTGAAACTGCATTTACATAACCAAAAATTGTGACTGGTGTTTCCTTCAGGTAGAATTGGCGTTTCTTGTTGGTAAAGGGGCGTTTTCTGTCAGCAAAAAGGGCGTGGGCTAAAAACACTTGTCTCGCTCCCCCTCCCCCAGAGTCTAGTGGCTGGAGTGTTTCGCCCCTGCAGAGTAGAAAGTGCAGAGTACAAAGTACAGAGTACAAAGTACAGGGTACAAAGTACAGGGTACAAAGTACAGGGTACAGGGTACGAAGTACAGAGTACAAAGTACAAAGTACAGGGTACAAAGTACAAAGTACAGAGTACAAAGTACAGAGTACAAAGTACAGAGTACAAAGTATAAGGTACAGAGTACAGAGTACCAAATACAAGGTACAGAGTACAGAGTACAAAGTATAAGGTACAGAGTACAGAGTACCAAATACAAGGTACAAAGTACAGAGTACAAAGTATAAGGTACAGAGTACAGAGTACCAAATACAAGGTACAAAGTACAGAGTACAAAGTACAAGGTACAAAGTACAGTTTGATAAATGATACCTACTTAAATCACAAATGTCCCCAGTAAATCCTGGCTTGCATGTGCATAGCCCATCAAAATGTCCACATGTCGCGTTGTTCTTGCACGTGCATGTCTGCTTGCAATAAGGCCCATACTTTTCCGCCGGGCATTCTGCAATATTAGAGCAAGTTGTAATATAAAAATTGCACATGTTTGCTATTTTCAAAGCCATTTTTAAGTTCTATACCGCCGAAAAACTGTTAACAAAAATATCATTAGGCCATTTTTACTTTCAACATTCGTTTTCCTTTAATGTTTAACTTGACAAAGGAACAACAGATGAATGTCATTTTTTTATGGGTGATCAAAGTTGGGAATTCAAAATTTGGCAACAAGTTTTTACACAGTCAATTCTTATCCAAAAAAATATCATTATAGATTTTTGTGATGTCATCCCAAAAAAAATATATCCTTATTTGTGAAAAATAAACTTTTTCATGCAATAAGCTAATTAACGCGCTTTATACGCGCTTTATACCCGCTTTATACGCGCTTTATACGCGTTTGGGATGCGCAAAAGGAATCCAGCGTTTCATTAGAAGCCAACAACGGGCGAAAGTCCGCCGTTTACTTTTTATCAAACCTTTGCCTCCTACTTCCACCCTAGCTTTAGTAAGACTACACAAACGTTAGTAAACCTATCCTAGATGCCTACTTGTAAATGTGATTCTTCTTCATCAAAGATTAATAAAAACCTGGGAATCTACATCCAAATTCGTACTTCTCAATGAAGAGCAGTCACGTGATATCCACCCAGGTTTACAAGTGCAGTTTCCAGTCATTGGGTTACACCTGCAAAAGAGAAAAAAGGTTTTAAACCCGCTACCTCAAGCCCTGGAAATCTCGAATTCAAATTCAAGCCGCTTTCGCTTTCCCCCCCGAACTTTCCTTAACCCGACCGAGCCCCCGGAATTCGTTAGCCGTGATTGTTTTGGCAATTAACATAGTAAAGCTTTCAATATAAACAAAAAACAACAATACGAAACGGACGGGGGTTTCGTTATTGCTCAACTTATGCAACCCGAATGCTTCCACACCCCTTGCCTCTATGCTTAGAAATGGCGACTTTTTCAACTCTAAATGAAAATTTCATCATGACAGGGACTGGAAGCACTGACCCTTGGATCTGTCATCCGCTCCCTCAGCCATCCTCAATCTTGGTGGGGGAGGGGGAGTAGCAGACACAAATTAGCTAGGTATGGAGGGAAGACAGCCAAATGACGTTCAGTTTGTGTTAGGCTTATTGGCAACGAATATTAACCATACCTATCAGTCGTAGTTCTGTTACAAACGCAACTTTGTTTGCAACCAATACCAAAAGTCCAGTTCGTACACGCTAGAAAAAAGAAGACAAAAAATGCTTTCAAATCAAGAGAGGCCACCTTACCCCCTCCCCCAATGATCTAGAATTTCATATTTGTTGACGATTCAATGGGCCTCGGATTAAAGAGTTTAAACATGATGTTTTCAAACTGCAATTTTTAAATTTCATAATCTGACAAACGTGCAAGATCTTTATAGTAGTCAGGGGACCAAGGAAACGGACAAAATGGTGAAGATGAAGGGGGGGGGGGTTAACTCAATTATTGAAAAACTTTGTCTGCTCGTTGGTCCCCAACCCTATACTAGTTTAACTGCAGACCATTTAGCAGAATGTTTAAAACGTCTTGGCTTGAAAAGGAAAGCTATAAATTCTTTGTTAAATGAGAGTTGCAAAGTTTTTAAATTATCAGAAATTTGTAAAATGGGATACCATTGATCATAACAATGAAACAAAGAATCTAGGCCCGTGTCATGCCTCGTTGCCTCTTAATGAGCAGGTTGAAAGAGAGACCATCACTATAACAACGCCAAGTAATTGGGTAACATGGAAACAAGTGTAAGCACTTACTGATATCACAAAACTCTCCTTGGAAGTCGCCTGTGCAGTTACATTTGCCATTGAATCTGTCACACACCGCATTTCTTGAGCACTTGCACTGCATGGCACAATTTGGTCCATAGTAACCATTTGGGCACTTTTCTCCACAATTAGTACCAGTCCAGCCACTGGTGCAGTTACAGCGTCCATCAGTCTTTGAACATGCTGCACCATTCTTACATTGGCACTTGTGAACGCAATGTGGACCAAAAGTTCCATCGGGACAGATCTTCTCGCATCTTGTGCCATTAAAACCAGAGTTGCATCTGTGTGACAAAAGAAACAATTGAAAAACTAACGAAAGATTAAAAAACTTTTGCCGTAGAAGCGGAAGAACATTATGCAGTCAAACAAAAATAGAGAGGAATTTGAAAATGTTGGTCACGTGCTTTAGATTGCATCGGCCAAAATTATAATTCGCGATTTTTGGCTTTAGTTTTAAACAGGTGAAATTCATACGAATTCACCAATTTTCCAATCAAGCAAATTTCAACCAAAACTAGACAAAATATTTGCGATAATCCGGCTCATAGGCTAGAGAGATACTTTTCATTTGCGCCAGATGTATTTCAAAGGGGGTTTGGGGTTCAAAACCAATAAAATATGTGTAAAAAAAATTGGGTTAATTGTGTTGGAATTTTCTTTATTTTTCTACCTACATGCAGTGTCCTGTTGATTTCTGACACACTCCATTTATCGTGCAATTACACGTTCTTTCGCATGGAACTGTTATATTCGTGTTCGGGTCCTTAACACCACATCGCGTGTTGCATAGTTCTCCAGTCCAACCTTTCACCGTGCAATTACACGTTCCATCCACGTTACTGCACACGCTATTATTCACGTTACAACGACAAACGCTCTTACAATGGTCACCATAAGTGCCATTGCGACAGGGATGTTCACATCTGAAACAAAATGGCATTTGATGACGATATGAACTTTGATGACAGATGGTTGGTAGTCGGTAGGGTTGATGAAAAAGGCGCAAGACTTTGCTGGGGTGAAGACTTTCTGTTGTGCTTAGGGGCTATCCATTTGTCCCAACCAATGAGAAAAGAGCATTATATGGACATGGCCATTTGGGCAAAAGCATGGGAAGAAATTTGCATTTTGTTGTACTTTGCAGCATTTAATAAAAAATGAGATTATGTGATGTCAGTTACTCTTTTACAAGCAGTTCGCTTAAATAACTGTACATATGATACAGAATTTTGAAAGCTGAGAGACCTTCGAACAAATGCTAGTTCCTCTCTCTAAAAACCTTCTCTATTAATTCTAAAAACACATATGATGAAGGCTGTTGCACATAAATTCATGGTTATCTTTAGATACTAACTATTTTCCAAGCACTGTTTGTAATTATTAATGAAAAGCTGTAACGATTCATAAACACAACAAAACAATTAAAGGAAATGCGATAGTTTTTTAGAGTAACATAAAAAATCGAAATTTCGGGAAGAGAAATCAATTTTTGTGAAACCTTTCTAGATAGAACAGAACAAGTTCGATTATGGAAAATTCGAATTCGAAAAATAGTTTACAGCATTCGATCTTCGAATTTACAGGATTCGAAATTCGATTAAAGGATTCGACGCAGCCAATCGGTGAAGCAAGGGCTTCGGACAACTTTACAAAAGCAGAAATTTAAATTTTTAAGGATTTTAAATATAAAATAACTGGAGGTTAATCGATTTGACAAACATTTAAAAGTATCATATTCAAATAATTTGAGAATAATCTATCAGCAAAATCTTATGTGATTAAATGTCAAGATTTAAGAAATAGCAAAAGGTCAGTTTAGGATTACTTCAGATTATCAATAGATGTTAGATTCTGCAATCTGGATTACTATTACAGCATTAGATTCAGCAATCCTAAATTAAAACTCACTTATTTCCGGTAAATCCAGGTTTGCAGATGCATTTTCCGGTAATAGGATTGCAGCCTATTGCGTTTAAACAATCGCATCTTTGACTGCATCCTTTGCCGAAAAATCCTTCATCGCACGGCTTACTGCAAATGTCACCCTAAATAGAAACAAAAAGGGGGGTATTTGCTATTTCAAAGCCGATGTCCAATAGGGTAAATTTGATATTGATGTAATGTAAGATAACGGCAATAATGATTAAATGATCGATAAAATGTAATCGATTTTGATTATTAGGATTGTTTACGAGAATGGCTGGTATCAAGTGATTTTGACTGATGATTGTTGATCACGATTGATGATTGATGATGATCGTGATTCTTAATAATCATGATTCATCATGACCACGATGTTGATTGTTGATCATGATTCATGATTGATCATAATCATGATTGATGATAATCATGATTCATCGTGATCACGATGTTGATTGTTGATCATGATTCATGATTGATCATAATCATGATTCTTGATAATCATGATTCATCATGATCACAATGCCAATTGTTGATCACGATGAATGATTGATGATAATCATGATTCACCTTGATCACGATGCTGATGATTGATTATTGATTATGATTGTGATGATTGATGATCACAACTGATAATGATAATTCATCTTGATAAAATGATTAAGAAAGATATATATTATAAAACATAGATGAAATGTTTACCTGCCAACCTGCTGAGCAGTTGCAGCTGCCATCAACATTGGAACAAGTGGCATTATTGAGGCAAGCGCAAACACTTTCACATTTGTAACCATATTTCCCGAGGGGACATATCTTTTCACAGCTGTGAAATCAGAAATTGTGTTATCACCCTCACAAATAAAACACAAACCATAAAATAGGGATAATTGCAAATTGCTTGGTATAGCAATTTGAGTGTCCTTTTCACCCAATTTTTCCCTCCAGATCACCTTTCAAAAAGTTTATCGTCCCGCTGCCAGGTGTTACACCTCCCTGGATTCGCGCCGCAGCCGACTGTGAAACGAAGTCAGTAAAGCCACATTCAAGAGGGGAAAGATACCGATATGGCAGGGGTCAAGATACGGCTGTTCTTTCTGTGGTCTCGTTTCAATGACTGTGTAACACAGTTTAAGTAAAATGTTTGTTGTGTTTACTTTGCATGTATTTTTTGGACAATAAATTAATCATAAAACTGCTGTGAGTACAAAAAAGGTACCACCATCTCAACAGGAGCAACACTTTTCTAGATAACTGTGTTACCTTTCAAACTCGGAAAGGGTTGGGAGTGAGATTACCCCCACGAAAAGTAATGCTGAAAAAGCATGTACAAAAAAGATGGCAAGCCATGCAGTACAAAAATACAAAAAAAAACAAACATACATTGGCAAATTGCAACCCACAGCAAAACTTGGGGTCCCATCATGACGTTATTGCCCATAAGAATTAACCCTGCACAAAAATGCATTCCCTACTTAAGAATCATCAAATAGAGGTCTGGGACTGAATGATGTCACAAACCTTGTACCAATGTATCCTTCTATGCAAGTACAAGTCCCATCAACATGATTACATGTGCCTCCATTCTGACACTGACATTTTTCGATACAGTTCTTGCCATAGGACCCACTGGGACATTTTGTGTCACATTTGGTACCAGTCCAACCATTGGTACAGGTACATTTTCCAGTGATATGGTCACACTTCGCATTGTTGTGACAGTCACATCGTTTGCTGCAGCTAGGACCAAATGTTCCTCTATCACATTCTACAAAAATGGAATCAAACAGCATAAGCATGACAAAACATGATAAAAGTAAAAAATCAAACTGCGTAACAAACTGAGGTAGCAAATTGCATTTGCATTTGTAGTCGTTGGGACAGTTGTATTAAGTTCTATCCTGGTGATTGTATTAAGCCTGAGTCTCGGAGTAGCAACTTAGAACCATCCTGTTCTATATTACTAAACAGCAACAACATGACAGTATGACAGACCAGTAAACAGTAACTTTCATCAAAAAGTATTAATAAGGCCAAGGCAAAGAGTTCATAGTGGGGGCTCATTAGATCTAAAAAACAACAGTTAGTTGGCTTTTGGGAGAGCTTGGCTGGGAACTAACAACTTAACATAATTTTTCCTCAACCCTTAGATTTGTGCCCTATTTTATACACTGGAACCTCCCCTAACAGACCACGCTATACAGTGGACACCAGTCAACAACAAAGGGCTGATAATTATGTTCCAAATAGTCAAAATGCTATTTAAAGTGAAAGCTCTGTACAAAAGAGAAACCTGTAAACAGGGCATAAAGTTTGCCACAGCCAGGAATATTCTAAATATACCTAATGTCTACAAGGACAACAAAAATATAGAATTCCTGTTACTCACTTAAACTGCAATCGATACCACGATATCCAACATTACAGTTACATTTATTTGGGGACACACAGGTACCATCTACACAACCGTGTTCACATTTTGCTGAAAATAAGAAAAAGACATGGTTAAAATCAAAACAAAAGTTGGATTTAAATTATATTGAACTAGTTAGACAGTGTCAAACTCGCCAAACTCTTGCAGGCTAAAAGTCTAGAAAAAAAGGCATGGTTAGTTTAGCAACTCAGCTGATCGCTGTGCTTTTTTAATTGAACAGTGGCAGAAATTGCAGGGTTATGGTTGGGCAACAGCAGTGGGGCTCAGAGGAGCTGGGCCCCCTTGTTAAAATTAAGAGAGATTTTGGGGGCTCACCCCTCTCCCTTAGAGCCAGTAGAGGTTAATTTGGGCCAATACCTCTCTTCAATTGGCAATGTGAATTAAATTTTATCAGCCTTTAAAAATCGGGGGATAGTTTGAAAATTTTCATAATAATCTTTAACATAAATGCAAGAAAACAGGGTGACACCATGGGTGTGGTCTTGGATCTGTTCCAGGCGTTTCTGACATAGCCTCTTCTTAACTTTTTAGAATGGCACCCCTGGGCAACAGTTACAATGATATTATAAATTGTTCAAAAATTTGAGTAAGTGAAATTAAAACTTAAAGGTAATGTGTCCATATAAAAGGACTGCGTATACCCAACCTGTCAAGCTACCTATCAAAATAACAGTTTGCGATTGGTTAGTGTTCTTGTGATGCAAAACTGCTCACATGAAAAGCTAACCTCGCAGCAGGATAAATAAACAGAAGGATCATAATGACTGGGGCGATGACATGAAAAATCACATGTTTCTAAAAACCCCCGCAGAGTCACTTGCTATAGCTGGACACATTACCTTTAAAGTAGCTAGAACCTGTAGTGAAAATTGACCATTAAGAGTACTATAGAAAAGATATTTCAATTAATAAACTCACGGTGACATTCGGTTAACTTTTGTTCATATCCCTGACAACATATCTTTTTGTTTGATGTTTCTGTCCTTTGTCTTGTTTGTGTCCTCATCACATAAATTGTTCTTAAAGCAAAAGCCAAGTTTCAATACAAATAAGGAGTCCAAAAGAATTATCACTATCTTTAAAGGCATTGAGTCATGGTAAATAGGCTTTCTCTAAAGGGGGTAATTTGGTTTCCGCCTGTTCGCTGCTGTTTCATGTGATAGTGGCATCCGTTGTTGACAACTTGCTATTGATGGAAACTGTTATGTTAATCAGTTCAAGGTGAGTTCATGTAACCAGTTCAAGGTCAACCAATAGCATCGCAGTCATGAAAACCACGACTCAGCTGATTTTGGCACTTAGGGTATACCCAATCCATTTTATCATGACTCAATGCCTTTAAGTCAAATAATAAAGAAATTTGGAAAGATCTGGGCGTTGATGTAGCCAACAAAGACATTTTTTCAACTATCTATCTTCTATTGACACAAACTTTTAAAAGAATTGTAGCAAATAGACGGACATAACGTCCCCTTGGTATTGCACTAACTAAAAGGATGTCAGAATTTCATCAACAAGTTTCTCATTCCTTCAAATACACAAAATATTTCTACCTGATACAATTATCATTCTAGGAGCTCTGCATATCTTTTCTAGACAAAGAGTGGAGGCAGAGGAGATAGCAATCATACAAAAAGCCAAAAATGTTGTAAGTTGGTAACCATCTGATTTTGCACCTATCTTATAACAATTTACCAAGGATCTTGGTTGATTTCTGCTTGCACAAAATCAAACTCTGGGACAAAACTACAACCCTAAGCAGAGAGATTGAGATTTTGTACCCCTCGGCAAAATCTAAGTGCATTGTTGGGAATCAATTGATAAATAACAGCTGATAGCCTGATAGCTGATATCTAGGGTTAAATCTTCATCACCCTTGAAGAAACCCCAAATAAAACCAACCATGATCAACAACAAACCTTCTTGCTCCGCATCTCTTTCGAACAAACCACCAGCCACATTGCGTAGTTGTAGGCTTTGTTGTCCTGACACTTACTTGAGCAGTGTATGATACTAGGCAACTGAAAAAGAACAAAACAGGGTGTAATCCTGAAAAGCAAGCCATGAAAACAGCAACTCTTGACATCACCTGAAATCACTTAAATGGCAGCATGGAACAAGAACTGGCTGCAAGCAACCCTTCCTTTTACTTGGTAGTTGTGTTAATTCTTGGGGTATGTCTTTTAGATTCTCTAATTGCTTCCAATCGCTTCAATTGCCCTCTATTAGATATCATCCCTGGTCCTATGAAACATTTATGTAATGTTAGATACTCTTCCAGCTCTCACCCTTACCAAGTCTTTTTTTCCAAATTCACGGCTTTGTCCCACAATTCGACCTTTCTCCCAAGCTCTACTATCTTCCTAGCTGCTAGAATCTTGTAAACTGCCTAAATGAAAACTAAAGCTAACTAGCTTAGATCTTTTCTCCCTCTTTTCCAGAGCCCTCCCTTTTTTCCCTGCAAGGGTTTTGCTTTATTATTTTTGGTCAATAAATCAAAAAATAGCAACAGGCTTCACTGGCTCCTGTGTTGCTTTTCTTAATGGTATTTTATGCCATTCTTTAGAGGAATTTTATGCGATTCTTACTTAGGCCAAAAGATCTTTATCTTCCATACTCTGCAGTCCAATATACAGCGATATGCATGAAATATATCTAGTTTTTATGGTCTTTGTTCAGGATACACTGCCCAAAACTTAAAATATCCCGATCAGATTCTAATGACAATAAATAAAATATAGCTTTACCATTTGCCTGGCAAAATTCAACAAATGACATGTTTTTGTCAGTAAAAATAATTTTTGCATTTACTTCTACAATAACGAAAGCGAAATACTTGAAAAAACAAGCTAAGGCCAATGTGTTGTTAATTGCAACATGATAGGTTCTTAATGTCTTGTATTCATTTTACCTGAACTGTGTTGGACAAACATGGTTTCCTGAGGGCTGGTTTGGTGGCGCTGGACAGTTTCCGTCGCTACTTCCAGCAGAAATAAATACGAGAAGTAACGAAAGTATAAGTTTATCCATGGCGAGTTTTGATAAACCCCTACAAATCCATCCGAGAGATCAAAAGTCATGTAAAAAATAAATGCGGAAGTTTGCAGCCAAAACGAGTTTCGCAATTTTGCCTCGTTATCGAACAGTCTCAGTATTGGAAATGAGGTTTTATGGGGATTGGGTTGTTAAGACGGTTGGTTTGAAGGGGATTTCTTGGGGGGCTGGGTAGAGAAATAGGTTTGTGAAAGGTAGGGGTGAGGTAGTAAGTTAGGGGTTAAGGCGTATCGGGTTAACAAGGGTTGGGTTGATCTGATTGGGTTCATGGGGGCTGGTTGCCAGGATCGGGTTGTCAGGGGCTGGGTAATTGTGGTGGCTGGTTTGATGGGAATTGGGTTGAGGGTATGGGGTTAAAGGGGTTGGGTTGACGGGGCTGGGTCGAGGGGGTAGGTTTCATGAGGGTTCTGTTGTGGATTGGATGGGGGATGGGGTTGAGGGGGCTTTCTTGACGGGGTTGGCTTGATGGGGCTCGGTCGACGGTATTGAGTTGATGAGGTTGGATTTAAGGGGGCACATTGCAAGGGTTTACGAGTTGGTATAGCCTTGAGTTTGAGAGTGTTGTAAGAGGTAACAGATGCGTCATCTAATCCTCTGCTATCGATTTCATGGCTTGCTGGTGATGTTATAATCTTTGTTATAATTAAGTCAATTTTTATAGCAAGAAGTTTTAGCAAGAAGGTTGAAAAAAGTTTAAGCAAGAAATTTTTTCACAAGTTGCCCTTCTAAGTGCTATTTATAGGAATCTTATATGAGATTGAAGCAGACCCTACTCTTCAATTAATTTGGGTGTAGTTTGAACCCGGGGTGTAGCTAGCGGGAGATGTAGCTACACCCCGGGTGCAAACTTTATGAATTTGTCTTTAAGGGAGGGCTTATTTGGGATAATTTTTGTCAAGAATTGTACTTTCCCCCTGTTTTTCTCAATTTTTCATTTGTATTTTCAATCGTTTTTCAAAGAATCAACGCATTTTTGCGAAAAAGTGGTTATATGTGAAAATAACTATAATCGAACAAGTTCACTTTAGAATCCGATGGGCAATTTCAAAATTGTCAGCTTGTAATTTTGATGTTTTTTCCCGAAAAGGTGAGTTTTTTATGTTTTCATCATGATAGCATAAAAAGATTATAGAATTTCAAAGAAGAGATAAGTTGATTTCTTGCTAATAACATTTAGTACTTAAAAATACAATTTCAGTGTTTCCTAGAAACAATTTCTGCCAAATTGACAGCTGGAAGATGAGTGTGCATTCTAGAATTTTCTAAAAGGTGATTCCCCCGATTGGCCTAGACATCTCCTTCCGCTTCGAGAGCACATGCTCCCTGTGCTTCTATGGAACATTCTGGAAATTACAGTCACGGCTGCATTCTTAGAAACTGACCAATTACAGTGCAGTATTTTTCAAACCATCCAATCAAGAGAAAGAACATTGTTTAAATCAACCAATCAGGATCGTCATCTCTTTTGCAGCATGTGGAAATTCTGCCGAAGCGACTAGAAGTTTCTCTTTCGCGTGGACGCTGACTTGAACGGGCATTTAAAGCCTCAGCAGCTCACAAACTCTCAGAAATTGTTCCTCATCGACGAGAACTAAGAACACAAACAAAATGGCAGATGAAGAAGTCGAAACCTTCGCCTTTCAGGCTGAAATTGCTCAACTTATGAGCCTCATCATCAACACCTTTTACTCAAACAAGGAAATATTCCTTCGAGAGTTGATCTCAAACTCATCTGATGTGAGTAAAGCATGGTTTTATGTCCTTCTATACGTATAAATTTAGTTTGTGTTACGGAATTTTGAAGTTTCTTTCTTTAGTCATGTTTTGTCAATGAAACATCTTGGCCACTGTCCGCAACCTTACCTTTCCTGACCAGGCCATGTGCTTTTTTCACATTTGCTCGAAGGACTTGCGCAATGAACTCATTCACAGAAAGATATTTCTTGGCAGGCTTATTTAATTTCTTAATTACAATTAGCTTGAATTCTTTTATGTCCTTCTCAGCTCTGTGCCTCTACTAACAGTAGAAAACTTTGGTAAATCTGTCAAATTCCAATAGAAATTCAGATTCAGTTATGGGGAAAATAGGCCCAGTTCAGTACACCCAGCCGCAATTAATTTATGTAAGAAAATTATTTTCTCGGGTTTAAAAACGAAAGGTTGGGTACAAGTAGATATAAAAGCAACGCCTTCTATCTTTTCAACAAGTTCCCGCTTCAAATTTCGAAGAACTCGGATTTTGTAGTGAAATCACGTTAAGTGCGTGCTTTTTTCCACTATCTAGAAGTATATTTTGCTTTTAACAGGCATTGGACAAAATCAGATACCAATCCTTGACAGATCCAACTGTCCTTGACACAGGCAAGGAGCTGCAAGTTGAAATTATCCCAATGAAGGACGAGAAGGTCCTCATCCTCCGTGATACCGGAATCGGAATGACCAAAGCTGACCTGGTCAACAACCTCGGAACAATTGCGAAGTCCGGAACGAAAGCGTTCATGGAAGCCCTGACTGCTGGTGCTGATATTTCTATGATTGGACAATTTGGTGTCGGTTTCTATTCAGCTTACTTGGTAGCAGAGCGAGTCACTGTCATCACCAAGGTAATTTCCCAGCCTCCTTGTTGCCTTCTCAATTGAATAAACTAACACATACTCAAGTTATACACTACTCCTCTTATACACTACCCCTCTGTTGTTCTCTCTTTTTTCAAGCCCCTATCTCTAAATCCTATTTCTTTCTATCCCTCTACAACTTTATTCTCTCCCCTCTCTCTCACCCCCCTTTCTACCTTGTCCTCTCTCTCACCAACCTCCTTCCACGGTCCCTCTCCCTACAATGAACTCTGTGCCTTCAGCTCTCCTTCTCTACCCCATCCGTTTTTCTTGTGCCTGTACTTACATCTTGCCCCTCTTCCACCCCATTCTACCCCTTTTCCATGCCCCTGCCTGCTCTCACCTTTCCCTGCTTCCAACAAACTGCTGAATAACCCCCATCTCATCCATGGCTTCCACTTCTTTATTTTGTCTCCTTATTACATCACCCTCGTAATTATTTGGCTTTGTTCCTTTATAAAGGCCCCAGAATACACAGGTACATAATCTTTTATCCAAGTTTAAAAAACTTTATCTGTCCTGCTGTTGCTTTAGGATAAGAAAGTTAAAGGACATTTTGCCATATGATGATGAATCCCAATTCGCAGTTTCCACCAAAGGACACGAGTGTCCGATGATGGCCCAACCTTCCATGGATGTCTGATGGCAAATGTTGTCCTAGCTGAACATAAGACTTGGCCTCTCTTTGCCCACGGTAGCGACATTAGGATTGAGTGGGTTCCGTTTATCTTACACACTTTTGAGTAATTTGTATTATTAACAATGTGAAATGTATTCAAATAGGGACTTTCTGTGTGAATTCCTTGTAATTGAAAGAAAGTTTTGTTTTTTGTCCATCTGTTAAGTGAAATAATTTTTTGTTTAGCACAATGATGATGAGCAATACATCTGGGAGTCAGCTGCTGGTGGTTCATTCACTGTCAAAAGGGACACTGAAAATGAGCCACTGGGGCGTGGAACAAAGATCATCTTGCACCTCAAGGAAGATCAAACTGACTTTATTGAAGAGAAAAAAGTTAAAGAAATTGTGAAGAAACACAGTCAGTTCATTGGATATCCCATCAACCTTCAGGTGGGTGTTAAAACCTTGTCTTTCTTGTGTTCATTTCTCAACAATGGTTGGTTAAATAAGCTAGTTTCCCAATTGCTCATTTTCCAACTGAAACATCAAAAATACTAGTGTCCCAATTGCTCAGTTTTGCCACAAAGACCAGTCTCACTATTGACTGTGTGAATCATGCTGATTGTTTGTCGAAACGATGATATAGCAAACCAAATGTGTGGCCTCGTCATTCAACATGCAATCAATGAGTAAGAAGCCTGGAAACCACATATTTTTAAATGTAGCAACTTTGTAGTTTGTCATGGGGCTAAAGAATGATACCTTTGTTAATTTTCAGTTTCAATTTTGCTGGGCAACTTACAAACATATGCATTTTACTGTACATTATTGTGCCGATTGCCACCACTCAAACCTGACACGGCTGATAGTATGTGAACAGATTTGAGGAAAACAGTGTTTCTGATTGGCCTATTTCGATCCACAACTGGGTATATATATTTCCTAGCGTAGAGTTTTCAATCTATGTTCTGACGTTTTTAAACTCTGGAGAGTGTGTCAGACGAAAAGCTTTAGTTTACTAAATGTTTGCTTTTTTCAAAGCCATTTTCAAGTTTTGTACCACCAAAAGATTGTTTGCAGATTTGAGGTACTTGTGTTTGACTGTAACGTATTTGATTTTAGGTTCAGAAGACCCGTGACAAGGAAATCAGTGACGATGAAGCTGATGAAGAGGAAGACAAGAAGGAAGAGAAAAAGGAAGATGAAGAAGATGATAAGCCAAAGGTTGAAGATGTGCCGGATGATGAAGATGAAGAAGGAGACAAGAAGGATAAGAAAAAGAAGAAGACAATTAAGGAAAACTACAATGAAATGGAACAACTAAACAAAACTAAACCACTTTGGACCAGAAACCCAGATGATATCACCAATGACGAATATGCTGAATTCTACAAGAGTTTGACAAATGACTGGGAAGATCATATGGCTGTGAAGCATTTTTCTGTTGAAGGACAACTTGAATTCAGAGCATTGCTGTTTGTACCAAAACGTGCACCATTTGATCTGTTTGAGAATAAGAAGACCAAGAACAACATCAAGCTCTATGTGAGACGAGTTTTTATTATGGAGAATTGTGAAGAACTCATTCCAGATTATTTGAACTTTATTAAGGGAATTGTCGACTCGGAAGATCTTCCACTGAACATCTCAAGAGAGACACTACAACAAAGCAAGATTCTGAAAGTCATTAGGAAGAACTTGGTGAAGAAATGCCTCGAGTTGTTCATCGAGATCTCCGAAGATAAAGATAACTACAAAAAGTTGTATGAGCAGTTTGCAAAGAACCTGAAACTTGGTATCCATGAAGACACTCAAAACCGAAACAAGATTGCAGATCTTTTGAGGTATTCAAGTTCCTCTTCTGGTGATGACATGACATCTTTCAAAGATTACGTCTCAAGGATGAAGGAGAACCAAAAGGATATCTATTATATCACAGGTGAAAGCAAGGACATTGTCGCAAATTCAGCCTTTGTTGAGAGAGTCAAAAAGAGAGGATTTGAAGTTTTGTACATGGTTGATCCAATTGATGAGTATGCTGTCCAACAGCTGAAGGAATATGATGGAAAGAAGTTGGTTTGTGTTACAAAGGAGGGACTTGAGCTTCCGGAAGATGAAGATGAGAAGAAGAGACAGGAAGAATTGAAGGCTAAGTTTGAAGATCTTTGCAAGGTAAGGAGGGTGTTTACAGACAGAAAATTTTCTTGTTAGGCCTGGGATTTTACAGCATTCAATGTTACTGAAAGGTTGCTGAAATAACAGAAAAAGAAAGGTTTAAATGGGAGGTTTGAATGGGACGTTTAAAGAAAGGAAAACATTGAAAATGTCAAAAATGTACTTATCATTTATTTTCAGAAATGCTTGGCATTGCCATGGTTTTGCAGTTGTGAATATATCCCAGAATCAAAGCTCACATTTCTGCCAAATTTTCAGGCCCAGTTGTTTTTATACCAGTTCCTGTTTACAATAATATTAAAATGTTATTTATTTAAATATTTAATCGTAGCATGCATCTATCCTAGTAGTAACTGCACCCCATCTGTTACTACTCTGGAAACGCATGCAAGAACTGTAGGGGGCAACACAGAATGATGGATAGCAAAGTTTCATCTTTCCACAGATTCCTCTGAAATTTTTTAAATCTACTTTAAAACCTCTAACTACAAATTTTTGCTAAACCTGAACATAGACCTAATGACATCGCTCTTTTTTGAATTTTTTATCAGGTCATGAAAGAGATTTTGGACAAGAAAGTGGAAAAGGTAGTCGTTTCAAACAGACTTGTTGATTCCCCCTGTTGCATTGTCACAAGCCAGTATGGTTGGTCCGCAAACATGGAACGAATCATGAAAGCCCAAGCACTTCGTGACACAAGCACCCTTGGATACATGGCAGCCAAGAAGCACCTGGAAATTAATCCTGACCATGCCATAATGGAGTCTTTGAGACTGCGAATTGAAGCAGATAAACATGACATTTCCGTCAAGGATCTCGTGATGTTGCTCTTTGAAACATCATTACTCTCTTCTGGATTTGGATTAGAAGATCCATTCACGCACGCAAGTAGAATCCACAGGATGATCAAACTTGGTTTGGGCATCGAAGAGGATGTTGCAGGTTTGTGTTACTCTCTTCTTCTCTATTCCAGTTTGGCTTGCATACATTCTACTCAGGGGCAGACACTTGGTCAAATATTGGGGGGCAAGTCTATCGTTTAATAAGATGACATCACATTTTCCATTGTTTTAGAACAAAATACCATTGTTCTCTAAAGTATTGGGGGTCCCCCCCCTTCCTTCTTGTTTCAAACCTATCTCAGACAGAAATATCAAATAAGATTTTATATAATGATTGTCAAAATTCTGGGTTTTTGCTATTTTTTCTCACTGCCTTCAAGATTTGTCAAAGTTTGACATTGTGTTAAGGGAAATTTCTTCAGTGCAACCTAAGTGATTTTTTATGCTCCTGCGTTGTTTTTGCTGGTAATGATTTCAATAAAAAAGCAGAAAATCCCCAAAGAAAATGTTTCTTCTGAGCTAGAGTCTTGGCCTTTCTTGCTCATACTTCCTTGAAAAAAAATTATGCAGAACCTAATGAAACAAAATGTCAATTTTCAGGAGTTGCTGACGTCTCAACTGAAGATATGCCACCATTAGAAGCTGACGAAGAAGATGCTGACCAACAGAAAATGGAAGAAGTCGACTAAAATGCCTCAATTCATTCAACCTGTCGAGACACATCTGCCATTTGTAATGTCTGCCTCCCATAATCCCAATGTCACAGAAATTTGGAACTAGGCCAATCAATTCTATTTGCCAAAAACATGTTCTCCTATTCAGAAAAATTGGATCCCAAGAGCAATTTGTGCACCCGCTACAAATCTTGATACCATCTTATGATACAAATATTATATCTTTAGTTCCAGATTTTGTGTCATTGGGATTATTTGTGCCAGGGAGCAGTGAGCAACATGCCAGGGACATTTTGAGCTTAATTTTCGTATCAAATTTAATAATAATAGTTTGATGTAAATTAAGTTTAAAGGATAGTTTTCACTCTTCCGTGAAAGATTTGAGGTGTAATGTTCTGAAGAAAAACTTATGATCTTACACTGGAAACTGTTTTGTTTTGTTCTGTCATTGAGGATACAAATTTATATCAAGATTGCCTTACAAAATGTTTTTGTCTTCTCATTTCCTTCTCTCCTCAATATGGTATATAAAATGTGTTTTCCAATAGTATGTTTAAGAAGGTTCGGGTCAGAGGGGTTAATTTCTGCCAAAATTCAGTGTATTATGGAAAATACAAGTTTTGGTACTCTTTGGAAAATATCGAGGTGCTGTCTAGCAGAGTCCTTCAAGAATTTCCGAATCTATCCATAACTGCTAAATGAGCACTTCAAAAGAGAAGCAATTTCAATGGTGTTAGAATTTGACTGAACAATTTTGTAACAGTTGATTGAAATCAAAGGGCAGGGGAGGAGGGGCAAAATGTGCGGGGCCTGTGCTCCGATGGGGGGGGTAGGAAAAGCCCTCATGTCCTTGATTTATGTCAAATATTTTTACACATCTTGTAAAAAGACTGAAGGGCGTGGCCACTTTCTAAGGGGTCCAGTTTTGTGAATAAACCTGGGCCCCAGTTGTCTTTCGATGGCCCTGTCGAAGAAACTTTTTTCATATAAATGCTCAAACAAAACAAAAATGGCCCGATGCGGGGTTGTGACTTAAGACCCCATGTCTCGTAAGGAGCGAAGCAGAATCTAAGTAGCTGGGTGTTTGGGGACGCGGCAAGGAAATATTGAAAATCGTCCTCTTTTCGCAAACGGCTTATACACTTACGTTCAAAAAGTATTGGGACACCCTTCGAAACTTCGAAGACATTTTATGCAACAAATTCGGAAAGACTTTTTTAAAATCTTTCTCATTAAAAAAGTACGGCAGTTATTTCCATGAAATTTTCACAAGACATTGTTGATATTTTGAAGCCTTTTATGTACGCCAAAAAATTAGAAATTCATCTACCATAAAATTTCTATAGGTCTCGAGACGAAAACATGAAAGCTCTGAAAACTCAAGAACTGAGTTAAGAGAAGCGCTTACAAAGTGCTTTCTACTATAATAAAGTAAATGGATTTTGCGATATTGCATCAATTCTCGGCTGCTCAATGAGTGCAGCTTTTCTGGTGTGTAAAAAGTTTTTCCGTACAAGAACAGAAAAAAATTTACCAAGGGTTTGCAGACCGAAGAAATTTACGACGCCGAGGGACGACAGTTCTTTACTGAGGGAACTGCGAAGTAATAGGTTTGAATCCTTACCAGACATCGTGTTGTCATGTAAAAAGAAGCTAAATAATGAAACATAAGCAAAAACATGGCTATAAAGTTATGAAAAATACAAATTTTCCAGCGTTATAAGAAAAACAAATGCTCTCTCAAAGTTAAAATTAATCATCGACGATGAGTTCAATGGCTTCTCCTTGAATGTTACGCAATTTTAAAAGTAGCTTGAATAAATGCAATAATTTAATAAATTTGTAGCATTTTCGTCGATGAAGTAAACTTTTTTTGAAGCTTAAAAGTTTGATTTTATAATTTCTTTAATAATTTCTTTTGTTATGCAAACGTGAAATTAGAAAGTTGTATTTGTTTGGACAGCTCTAAAATTTTTGGAAGGTCATGTGACTTTGCCATTGTTAGGCCATTCAGTCCTTCTGCATATTTTGCTGTTATAATCAGGAAAATCGAAAGAATCCTGTGTTTTCTTGGTTATTCTTCATAAGTTGAAGCATTTTGTTAACTTTTTATTCCATTTTGGGGAAACTTGGGCCTAGATTATTTGTAGAAAGACTGCCTAAATCTGAAAAAGTTTCCGTTGCAAAACCGAATCCAACCGAACGCCATAATTCGTTTATCGAATTCGTCCCAATACTTTTTGAACGTAAGTGTACATCATATGCAAAATAGATGACAATTTCGATGGCAAAAATTATGATGAAAATTGCATAAATTCTTTACTGCTCCGATGAATGCAGTTTTGCGTGTAAGTTTCTGCAAAAGAAAAAAATCGTTTAAAAATGCTAAATTTCGAAAAAACAGCCAAAACATTGCAAGAGAAAATAGGACAAATTAACACCTTTAAACTGCATTTAAAAATATGTCCAACATCCAAGTGTCCCAACATACCTTTTTGAACGTGAGCGAACATGGGAAGAAAGAAGTTGGAACTATCTTTAATCATTTAAATAAAAGCCCTTTTCTAAGATTAAATTTTTGGCTAAAATAAAGCTCTTTAACAAAAAAGATTTTTTAACAATATTTTTGGTTCAGTTCAGTTCATTAAACAATACTTGAATGAATCCCTCTTTGAGAAAAATTAAATGGTTTCTAAAAATGTCGGAATTCAATTCACATTTGAATTGAACATTAAAAAGTCAGACTATAGACAAAGAAATTTGATAAAATCATACTTTCAAATTTGTTTTCATAATAATGAGATTTGTCTGTTAAATTTTAAACAATTTAATTTTCATTGATAAACATTGTTGCTATGACATTTTTAAATCGAGGCTCGTGGGACGAAAGTGAGGCAAAGCGGAATTTAGGATTTCTTCCAGTGATTTCTTCCTCTTCCCCTAAAGTTTTCCGGCCAGCAATTCGTGGCGGGAAAGATCGCAAATAATGGCCGGGAAATTCATTATATCATTGCTTATTGCAGCTATTGGGTAAGTGCAATTCTTAATTTGTTTTATCTAGATAGGAGATGATTTTAATTAGCTAAAGACTCACATTTTCGTATTTGAGCTAAGACAGTTCAGTTCAGTTCATATATTTTGAAATTCCTCTACATACAACATCCTAATAAAAACACTAATTACATACAATGACTATAAATTAGATGAACATACTGATAATAACACACAAAAAATAACAATTTACATAAGATGTTGCATGCAGGGGAATTTCTCTAGGAGGAGCTCTCTCTCAATAGATAAACTAATCGAGGAGAGAGCACCCCCTTTTTTAAGATGGTTCTGAATCTCATTCATTGACTGAGGACGAATGGTAGAAAATTGATATAACGCATTAATAATCGAGCTTTTCTTTAAGAATAATTTATGTTTTCATTAAGGATTGTGCAAATTTATTTTATTCTATTGAAACAAAGGCCTAGTAACTTGGAAAGGGGCAATTTGCACTGTTTGTGGTTGCTGTTTAAGACTGGGGGTATAATGGTATCATAATATGAGATAGTGGGGGCAGGGAAGGGTGGGGGCAGCATCCCCACATTTATTCAACACACTATATGCTGTCTTATAAGTCTGATTAATTTCTTATAAGTTTTCTGCCCATGACAGATTTTCTCCCATGACAGTGAGAATGGAAGCTTAAAGGCTGTTTATGCATAATTATCATTGCAAATTAGGAATTCTGGTAACTTGAAATTTTCATATGTTAAAGATCGTCTTTCTAACCATTCAAACACATTTTTCTTCCTCTGGTGCTACTTTCAGTCTACACTAGGGTATAAATTTTCAACTTGCTTTCAGTCATTACCAGACATTTAAACTCATAGAGTGTCAGCCAGGGCCATATATTAAACCACTTTGGAAACCCCCATTTCCAAGTCATTACCAGACATTTAAACTCATAGAGTGTCAGACGAAAAGTACCAAATACTTAATTGTTGAAGATTTTGTTATATTAAGAAAGGAGATCCTGTTTTTTTCTCGTTTTTACATGGCTAAAAAGTTTTAACCTGTCTCTGTTCAAACACAGAAACAGAAAGTGAAAGAAAATGAAGCTGGTCCAGGAAACAAAGCAATTTTTTACATTTGTTATTTCAGAAGATTTTAACTTTTTGAAAACAAGTTTTGAATTTTATCTAAACAGGTTGGCCCATGCTGGTATTGAAAATGTCATCCCTCCAGGGCACTTGGAGCCATTCGGCTCACACATGGACCCAATGCCATTAGAGGAAACTGAAAATATCCCTGATGCAAAAACCTTCTTTGAGAAATATGTCCTACCAATGCGTCCAATTGTATTTCGGAATGCTGCAAAAAAATTCCCAGCTTATAAACTGTGGACAGAGGAATATCTGATAGAGAAGTATGGAGACTTAGAAGTGAGGCTGGAAAACAAATTAGAGAAGGAAGGCTACACTCCGTCAGGTGCAAAAGGTTTGCAAATTTTTTATTCTTTTGGACGATGTTATGTCACAGTGTAACTTGTTTTTATAGAAATGGAATGAGCGAATAGGAATCAAAATAAATTGTTAAGGAGCTGTTTACCTTCACGAGTCCGTCGCTAGCTTTTGTTCTCAAGGGGGGTTTCCAAGTCCCATTTTCTCAAGTGGTTGAGTCATCCTGTATTTGGTGACAACTTTGGAAATATGCTGACTAAGCACCCCTAGGGGGCAAAACCCCCCTTGTTTTTGAAATGGAATTATTTTTCAAAAGTAGTGTCACACCCCATTTGCCTCACCCCCTATAGTGACGAGCCTATATCTTAAGTAACAAGTGGTCTTTTGCATGATATATTGGATACAAGGAGGCATATCAGACAATTTCTTGCAGAAGATGTGTGGTTCAAGGGTCATTTCAGATCACTTTAATGAAACAATTTCATATATGGCCCTGGCGTCACCAAGCATATGATCAGGGGCATCAAATATTGGAAGGCAAGCCTATTGTTTTAATAAGATGATGTCTAGTTTTCCTAATTGTTTTAGAACAAAGGACCATTGTCCTCCAAATGCCCCCCTCATTGATCCCCAGGTGCCCACTGCATATTATGCTTCAAGATTTGCACTCCTTGAAGTAAACACGTCAGATAATGACTTAGAAAAGCCAAAACTTATTTCTAAATGCTGGTTGAGAGTAATGTGAAAGGAGAAATGGTTATTGGATTGGTTCCTTGTTCGTGACCAACTGATGATTGCTTTATGCCAGGGCCCATGCCAAAAATTGAAAAGTAGGGGGGCAAGGCTTCTTTCCCCTTTTACTGCAGATTTAAATCTACTTGCTTTGCAAAAGAGTGGGGGGCAATGGCCACCCTGGCCCTTTTGGTGAGGTGGGCCCTGTTTGCAAATTTTTATTGGATGAAGAAAACTTAACTCCCCAGTAAGGTTTAATCTGTAACATTCAAATATATTACTGTTTTTAAATTCTTTTATATATCCTGATTATTTTAGGCATTGGAAGAGATACAGTTAGAGAATTTATCAATACATACAAGTCAGCACCAAAATACATTGTATCAGAACTGCCATCCCCAATGTACCAAGATATGATGGTATGGATAACTTTTCTTTTGTTCGTATATTCAATGGAATGTTATTTCACTTTTACACTTATTATATAGAAAATGAAATTCAGTGGCTCGTGTATTTAAGTTCTGCTCTACAACAACAGCCCATCTTATTTTTGATTGAATGTCCGAAGTTGTTTAGCTGTGCTCTGCCACACTAGCAAATGCCATTCTCCCATCCAATTTTCCATGTTTTAGCTTTACTCTACCACACTAGCAAATGCCATTCTTCAATTCAATGTTCCATGTTTTAGCTTTGCTCTACCACACTAGCATATGAAATTCTTCCATCCAATTTTCCATGTTTTAGCTTCGCTCTACCACACTAGCAAATGCAATTCTTCCATTCAATGTTCCATGTTTTAGCTTTCCTCTACAAAAATCCTATGTCATTCTTCAATCCAATGGTCCAAGTTAGTTATTTGCTCTACAACGATAGCCCTATTTGATTCTTCAGCTCAGTTGTTCGCAATTTAGCTTTTTTGCCAACAACGGTAGACTTATTTCAGTCTTGAATTCAGTGTTCTGTATTTTAGGCTTTGCCCTGCATGTCCTGTGGACCAATAAAGAAGCGTATGGTCGAAATCGACTTGTGGATGAGCTCAGGTTCAAGTCAAAGTATTCTACACAAGGATGCATTCCATACAATGAACTGTCTAATAAACGGAACCAAAGACTGGAAAATCGTCCTGTACAAATATGAGAAGGATGTTTACAAGGCCTACGAGGAGGGAAACCCTGGTGGAGGGTATTCAAAAATCAATGTCCGGAGTGTGGATATGAAAAAATATCCTAAAATATCGACGTTGCCATATTACAATATCACAGTTCATGGCGGTGACTGTCTGTTTTTGCCGAAGAGCACTTATCACCAGGTATGTTCAAAAATGTTTTTTGAAATTTCCTGCGATCTTTCTCAATACTGTGGCTTTTCTTCTGTCCAATGATTTGTGCAAACATCTGCAACGATATCTCGTCCTCACTTGGGCTGTTTCAGCATCAGAGGATAGAGGAACCTGATTGGTCTATTCAGAGCCAATCAAACACATCCTGTTTTATTTCGAAAATATTCGCAAAATAGGCTTCCAGAAAAACACCAATCAAGCTAGGTCTCGTCAGTCACGTGCAAGAATAAAGGACCACTGCATTTTGCTCTTGGTTCAAATTTCTATAAACCAAACAAAACGACAACAGTCTCTTAGCATGGTCGCAAATGATTACGCCTTCGTAGTGAACTGAAATGAGTAGGGCTTGGTGATCTCAAATGATTACGGCTAGACAGGTTAGGGGCGAAGGTGAAGAATCTGGTTCGGATAATCCGATCAACCTCGTGTCATACACGTGGAGGAGTTTTTTAACGGCATCAACGAATGACAGGTCACCTAGGGTCAGGGAACGCTCTCCTAAGAATATGACATCTAGCAAAACATGATACTCCTTCAGATTCTTTATGTCCGCCCAGGTTAGGCATACACCATGTTGCATATTACAAAGTGACAGATTTATCAATTGATAAGATGTGGTACTTTTTTCTCTCTGTTTTAACTTTAATTATATGCGTGAAATCCCGTTTCAGGTCAACTCCCTGCCAGGCTTCAATCTCGCAGTTACCATTCTCTTTTCCCGATTCGACTTTGATCGGCCAACAAACTTTAAAGATTGCAACTCCACCAATGAGAAATTCACGCCTCTGAATCATTTTGACATTGATTGGCAGTATCCAGGACGAGGCTATATGACAATGGGGTACTCAGAACTGTTCGGGACAAAGTCATCCCTGTTCCAAGATGCAAAGCGAAGGAAGCTAAAAGTCGATGATGTTTTAGAAACATTTTCCAGTTCAGAGGATCTTTTCACAGGTATGGAGAGCTGGTCCAATAATAATTGAAGCATGTTGTTGCCCAGTAAAGTCTTTCCAATTTTTGTATTTTTTTCACTGTATGAAATGTTCCAATAATGCCATCGAGAGAACACAATGCAATAAAAGTCTCCCGCTTCAAAACGATAAAATCGTCCATTTGCAAGACCTAAAATGAAGTGTATGCCATGTGTTTTATCTTACAACATGGATGTGTACTTTTGTCCGGAGGTGTGTCTTCAATAGGCCGAGGACGGGGTGTGCTATTTTGAAGTGTGAAAACACACCCTAAAATCTATAACTTTTCCAAAACCCCTTCTTCACAATTTTGACACATTTGGACTTTACCTTAAATAAAAATCAGCAAAAATCTAAAAACTCAATCGACTAAATGAAAACATATCGCATTTCTTATAAAAATGATACCCCAAACTTTAAGGGCTAGAAATCAATCTTAAGATTTACGACCACGTTCGATTTCACCAAAGCCGACACCCTAAAATTTAGTTTCTAGTTGTAGAAAAGTACCCCGGAAAAATGGATCATCCCGTACCATTGTATGTAGAAGTTACCCCTCGCTCCGGGTGCTTTGGTGACAAGAGAAAACGGATGTAGTCACTGAATGAAGAGGTTGAGGAAAAGATGGCCGACACAATTGAAGACTGGAATAAGCTCAAAACGTCTTATAAGCACTTTTTGTTTTTATCTATTTTGTTTTTATAAGGTGAAAGAATCGACAGAAATTATGTTGCAAAGCTTTTTGGGATTGCTCCTAATGACGTAATTACGAAAGCCCACGTAATGAAGCTGAAAAAGGCGCAATTACGAAAGATCGGTGTTGCGATCCAAGGTGTCATGGCGTCCAATTCTTATGATTACGAGTATTATAAGATTTCGCCAAGAGATATCGCCAGATTGGTCGCAGTTCTTGTCAAAAGAGATGGTGCTTTGCGAAAAGATTCTTTTGTTGATTGGTAAGTGAACTTTGAACTTTGAAACCTGATTTCGACCTTTGACCCGGCGATAACAAAACAATGAGATTTGAAGTGCCGATCTTTTAAAACCTACCATTGAATGCATTAATTAGTTAGATGTGTTACGAATTGGCTGAGAAATGGCTACATGAGCAAAGCCTCTTTCTTTATCTATTCACTGAAATTGGTTCTCTGTTCATAACTTTATGAACTAAGCCAAAGTAACAGTAATTCGTTAGCAAGCTTTCTTCTAATTATGCGAGCTTTCTTCTAATTTACGAGCTTTCTTCTAATTATGCGAGTTTTCTTCTAATTATGCGAGCTTTCTTCTAATTATGTGAGCTTTCTTCTAATTATGCGAGCTTTCTTCTAATTATGCGAGCTTTCTTCTAATTATGTGAGCTTTCTTCTAATTATGCGAGCTTTCTTCTAATTATGTGAGCTTTCTTCTAGTTATGCGAGCTTTCTTCTAATTATGTGAGCTTTCTTCTAATTATGTGAGCTTTCTTCTAATTATGCGAGCTTTCTTCTAATTATGCGAGCTTTCTTCTAATTATGCGAGCTTTCTTCTAATTATGCGAGCTTTCTTCTAATTATGCGAGCTTTCTTCTAATTATGCGAGCTTTCTTCTAATTATGCGAGCTTTCTTCTAATTATGCGAAATTGGGTAGAAAGTTCCAAATTAGATGTGTCCACATAAGCAAAGGCCATTTATCCACAAAATCACTGAAATTTGGTCTCTGTTCATAACCTTATGAACCAAGCCAAAATAATTTTTATCCATCAGCGAGCTTTAGATCTTTCCTTGGTAATACCTCTCCCAAATGATAACATTTTTTACTTGTTGTGCACTTTCAGAAGTATTTTCATCGTGCTTTTTCAGGATATGTCGTAGTTCATTACTTGAATGTCTAAAAATAATATTCGTAAGGATAAAATATATCTTGCCTGCATGAAATTATTGAATTTTTCATTAGCATATAAAATCTGAGATTTGATTGGCCGGAATTCACCTGTCAATCACCTGTTGACCAATCGATAGAAAGGTTACATTGTGGACCAATCAGAATCACAAACAAGCACATGTGATAGAGACGCACGTGTTCAAGCTTCTTTCATCCTTATGGAATCTTGCTGTCATATCTAACCAATCAAATTATTTTCCATAGGTACGTGAAGAAGCTCTACGGCACAAAATTGTATGGTGATAAACTATTCGAGCACATTGCTGGCAAAGATTCTGAACAAGTCCCGAAAGAAACTGTCCTGAAAAGCTTCAGCGAGGCAACTCGAAGGCAAGGCCTAAACAACTTTTTGTAACAATTATCCTAGTGTAATTTTGACAAAGCTTTTGACAATACAGCTAGAAGGCAAGGCCTTAATAATTATAAATGACGCCTGTCTTAGTATTATTTCTGCAAAGTTTTTCCCAACAGTATCCGAGTTTCTTTGAATATGTTTGATAGAAATTCTCTGCCATGAATTATATTTCACCAGTCGATCTAAGTTCTTCCACCACGAGGAGTCCCCCAGGAGAGGCGGACATTTGGGCAAATATTGAGGGAGTACAAGCCTACAAGCCAATTGTTTTGATAAGATAGCATCACACTCTTCCATCGTTTTCAATTGCAAAATATTGGGGGCAACCGCACTCTACCCCCCCCCCCATCCCCCCAAGGCGTCCGCTCTCCACAACAAGGAATCTCCACAACAGTTAAAGGCGTCCGCTCTCCACAAAAAGGAGACATTAGAAGTCTCCACAACAAGGAATTTCCATCACCACAAGTTCATACCACAACAAGGAATCTCTACCCCCCTTTAGTAATTCTTATCATAAGCAGTCACTTACCATTAAAATTTCGAATCTAAGTATCCCCATTAAAATAGGTATCCCCATCAACAGAAATCCTCTACAAAAGTGACCTTTACCATAAGGAGAATCCCCACTTCTGGGAATCGCCAACCACTAGCACTAGGAGTGAAATTCTGGTACCTAACGAGTCATCTGTTTAACCTAAGTATCCCCATTGAAATAGGTATCCCCATCAACAGAAATCCTCCACATGAGTGACCTTTACCATAAGGAGAATCCCCACTTCTGGGAATCGCCAACCACTAGCACTAGAAGTGAAATTCTGGTACCTAACGAGTCATCTGTTTAACCTAAGTATCCCCATTGAAATAGGTATCCCCATCAACAGAAATCCTCCACATGAGTGACCTTTACCATAAGGAGAATCCCCACTTCTGGGAATCGCCAACCACTAGCACTAGGAGTGAAATTCTGGTACCTAACGAGTCATCTGTTTCTAGTATATCAGCTGTTGAATTTGTTTTTTAGCTATGTTGGTGATGATGGCATTGAGGAATATAACCCTGAATCCAAACACAACGAAAAGGAAGACCGAGGGGATGCCTATATTTTTGTGAAGAAAGACTTGCAAGGACTGGAACCCGATAAAGATCTGCTGAGATCTTTAGAAGACCTTGTATCAGAGTCGCAGGGGGATGACGGTGGTGAAGATGAGGATACCCCTGAAAGTGAAGAAGAAAATGCAGTCAAGGATATGGTGGAAGAAGATGAGGAGGAATCCCCGAATGAAGATGAAGATGACGGTAAAGATGAAATGGAAGGGGATTCCAGGAATGAAGGGGATTCCGAGGATGAAGGGGATGGCAAGAATGAAGAAGATTCTGATGAAGAATCGCCAGTTGGAGAGGGTGACACAGAGGGAGATGCCGCGAAAAGAGACGGTGGTAAAATGGGGAATGCCCAAAAAAGGGATGAACTGTAGAAAGTTTGTGTTTTTAAAGTGATGTTGTTTTGTTGTTTTTGTATGTTTTCACGTCATCATTTTGATCTGGTATATTTAATAGTCAGATTTTTGTCTATCAATTTTTATATTTAAGCTCAAAGAAATTTAGATACGTTTTCTTTTGTTTCCCATCTAGAATTTTGTATTTTGAGAGATAACTTCAAAGAAGAAAATCACTTGTACAATACACATTTGTTAACTTACCAATTTTCACCAACTTGTTTTCAATGAACTCTATGCTGATAGCTGAATACCAGTTTGAAACGATAGACAGATTTCCGAATCTAGCAATTATTAATCAAACTATTTTCTTTCTTTCAACAATTTTCAATCTAGTTTGAATCGAACGACTTATTTGGGAACGTTTGTTTATAAGCTTATAAGATAGAAATCGAAAAAAAACTTGAGCTTGATCTGAATTTATCAAAGTAGTAGAATTTGGGCGTTAGAAATGAAAAAACAAAGAGGCGAGATTGCAAGAGAAAAAGAAGTTGGAAGGAGGAAGCACCAGCATGATCCGTCTACGGCATTCAATTCCATGACACCAGAAGAAGAAGGGTGACAAATTATTACAGGGCTGTGACAGAGCAAAAGCAGAAAATTAGATTCTTCCAAAAATCAATAAAAACATCAGAACGTTGTAACCGTCCATTCTTCTGATCACAAATAAAATCTTCGATGAGTGAATTTCCCTTGAATACACTGGTATCTTTTTCTGTGTCTGCGATGTTTAAAATGTCCCGACAAATTTCGCTGGTCGTTTAAATTTCCCATTGGCTGGATTACACAATAAACCTATTGTTACGTATCCAATCAGCCAATTCTAACTGTTTTCTTGATAAAAACACTAAAATCTATTGTTAACACTGAACGATTGAATGACGGGTCATAGTGCTTAATTCTTTCACTGTTTCAGTCTTTAAAGAATTTATTAAAGAAACAGGTCGAGGCAAGACTCCAAAGTTTCAAGCTATGAAAATTTCTCGTTTTTTCTCTCTAAAGGTTTATGAGAAAACAGGTTTGTTTTCTCGCATAACTAAAGAGAGAATTTGGTTGGTTACTCACAACAAAGAGGTTTTATATTAGAGCGTAGAAGAAAGCTTCTCTGCTTTAACGTGTGCTAGTCTATCATAAGTGGTTATTAATGATTTGTCTTTATTTATTCTTGATGATTTTGATTTGTCAACAATTTCCTTAACGCAAAAGGGACTATTTCAGAGGGCCTTTGAGGCGGGGGTTCTTGAGGCGGGGTATTTTTGGTGGGGCATGTGAGGCAGAGAAGCCCCATTGGCTTTGCTCCCCCTTCTTTGCGATGCCTTTCCCAAACCTTGTTGATGTCCCTTGCGATTCCTCTATATGCGGCAGCCCTCTTTGCAATACCCCTCTGCGATTCCCCCTTTTATCCAAGCATCTTTTTGCGATGCTGCCCCTCCTTTGCAATTCACCCTCTTCATTCCGCTGCACCTCACCCTTCAGGATGCCCATCTCTAATACCTCCCTGTGTGATATTTTCCTTTTGATACCCCCCTTTTAACCCCCCCTCCTTACTCTCACCATAACCCTAATCTCTCCGTATTATTCAGTTTTCACCAAGCGCAGCAGCCACTACCAGCTTTTGTCTGCGTTTCTGTTTTAGATTTCACAGTGGTCAGGCTCCATTCAAATAACCAATTCAAAATCTATTGTAAAGAAGATTTCGTTTGAGATGAATCGTTGAAGCAGCCAAACACCGGAACAAGTTGCAGTTCGCGACATTGTGAAATTCAAAACTCGCGACATTGTGAAATTCAAAACAGAAAACTGTTGGATTGTAATTTCAAATTTCAAAGAATGTAAGTGTTATTTTGGTGCCTCTACTTTCACTCTACTTTATTTTACTTCTCTTAACATCTACTTAACCTTTTTATCAGCAACAAATTTGCCAAAGAATTCATTTCTCCCATTACTGCGATTCCACATTCTTACCAGTATCCAATTTTCGATGTCTTATATTTTCGAAATTTTTAATGATTTTAGCTCTAAAAGTTTTACGTCCTAAGTTTGTTGAAGATATATTAACTCTAGATGTTAGCAGAGAAGCTTTGAAAGAGGGTAACAGAGATAATTTTTTTTTTAAGTGGCAAAACAAAATCGTGTTATGTTTTTACAAATTTTGACTGAATTTAGATCTTAAAGTTTAATAAAATGCTTGTTGATGCTTTAAGTCCAAATAGCCACCAAGATTTATTCATTTTTATGTAGAGCAACGACAGTTTTACTGATTCGAAAAAAACCACAGTCAGCCCTTTTTTAATAAATATTTTCAAATTCAAAGTCAGTAAACAGAAATATTAATTACAATATACTGACATGAAATAAAATTTGTATAAATTCCAAAAATTAGAATAATAAATAAGTTCAAAAAAGTCAATTGGTTTTTATCATGCTGAAAGAGACACGAAAAACCTCACGATGAGCTATCGAGCCATGTGTCCTGTTCGACACACTTAAGCTAATAGAGTATCGATTGTATATAGATGGAATCGACTTTCAAAATTTATCAAAAGCAGAAAATATTTTTTATTTAAAAGAGTTTTGTGATTAACATTTCGTAGCATTTTGAAAAGAGAAAACCATTTGCAAATTTCAAACTTTCATTTACCATATATCACCTTATTTTTAACACATTTAACAGATTTAAACCTTTAAAGGTATTTAATGATGCTCTGTTAGCTGATGAAGTCAAAATTTAAATTTCCTTAGAATAGTTTTCTGTTAGCTTCAAAGCTTGTTCTCCATTTTATCCAACACATCCATGGAAATTATTTAGAAGTTTAGATATATGATCAAACACAGCGAATAAGGTACCAGTTTCTTTAAACTGGATCGTTCGAAAAACCAGTTTTCAAGACATTCACACAAAATGAGTCAAAAAATTGTGACGTCCATTTTTAGTGAACGTTTAGTTTTTTCTACTGAATTGCATTGTTTTTCAAGAATATTGTTTTTAAGAAGAAACAGGCTCAGAATGACTCAATTTCCGAAAAATGTTGTAAAATGTTCCTCAGTACATATTTTTGTCTCATTTTCCTGCGGTTGGCTGCTTTGTGAATCATAACAAAAAATCGCAGAATTGATTGATCTCGTTTTATTAAAAAGCGTGGTTTCTATTCCAAGATGGGCGATGTCCTTCTTAAGCCATATCAGATTTTAAAAACGTAAATTTTCTTTAAAGATATTTATAGGCTTAAAACGAAAATCTCTTTAAAATATCGAGGCGGGGGGGGGGGGGGGGGCGGGATTTTGAAGTATTTTTTTTTCAAAAGGAATGTAGCATAACACCCATTTAAAAGATTGGCTGTTTATTAATTTTCTTGCCTTATCTGTTGCCATCAGCAAACATAGATCAGTAGAAAAAAGGTAATATTTTGACGCCTTTAAGGGTTTTCCGTCAGCAAATTGTTGCAGTGATGTGAGAGGAGAGTGTTTGTCATTTCAGGCTATGCCCCCCACCCCAAAATGATTTGTAGCAATTCTTTGTTTTCAATGAACGACCGCTTCGTTCCTTTTGTATTCAGACAGTGGTGATCTCAAAAGCTTTCTTCTTGCTATGTCACTCTATAAAAGGGCATGTATCGTGAACATGATTGGCTAATGCAATACAATTATCTCTTTTGTTTAGTACAAAGCATGGAACCGAAGGTGAATTTTTACGGCAGTAAAAATTAATTAAGAAGATATGAAAAGTCACGAAACAATGGAATTCCACTCCAAACGATTTTGTTTTATTAGCCAACTGCTAATGCGACAAATGCCCTTTAGGCCATGTGCCCAAAAGTGTAACAAAGTTGAAATGTTGTTTTGAAATCCGCCGCCAGGCATTTGAACAGACCATATATTAAAGCCAGGCCTATGAAACAGGCCATTAGGTCAATCGTGCCCTGCGTAAAAGTATTCAACCACAATTATGAATCAGTGGTGGCGCCAGAGGGGGGGCAGGGGGGGCTACAGCCCCCCCGTCGGAGGAGGCTAGCCCCTCCGTCGGAAGATAAATTATGCTTGAATTTTTTTTGTCGGAGCGAATTTTTTAAGTTTTGGCGGAAATAGAAATTTCTAAAAGGACTGTTATCAGAATTCAGGAAGCTCATCCCAAAACAACTCATCGACACATCAATTTCATGGTAAATAATAATCTGTTATAAGAAGTTTGAATTGGTTGTTTAGATGTTCAGTACCAGGTGTTTTCCGCATGCTGTTAAATTTGATCTTATGTTATGGATAGTGCAGTTCGTCCAAATCTTGCTTGCTATAACCAACCTACAACATCGGAGAAACTACGGAGAAACTCTCGTCATATCTTGATCACTATCTTAGACCGATAGTCGAGGAAAGTGCCTCATATATAAAAGACACCACTCATTTTTTACAACAAATATTCGAAATACACACTAGCATTCCACCAAACTCGTGGCTGGTTACGCTAGACGTCAAATCTCTATACACCAACATCCCCCAGGACGAGGGGATCGAGGCATGCCTCGAGGCCATCCGGAATTATTATGGGGACACCCCGCCAATGCGTACAAGTTACATCAAACAAATGATGGTATTCATACTTAAACACAACTATTTTACCTTTAATGGTAGATTTTATCAACAAATTCAAGGCACTGCAATGGGGAGCCCCTTCGCTCCCAACTATGCCAACATATTTATGACAACTATAGAACAACATATTTTACAAAATGCCCCAATGGGGCGTACTCCAATGTTTTGGAAAAGATTCATCGACGATATAATTTTCATTTGGCCACACACCCTTGAGGACCTACAAAATTTTATACAATACACCAACACCGTCCACAAAACAATAAAGTTTGAAGCAAATTTTTCCAATTCAAATATACACTTCTTGGATACAACAATAAACTTACACAAAGAGGGGGGAATTACCACCTCACTCTACCAAAAACCAACAGACACTTGCAATCTCTTACACGGTGATTCCTTCCACCCATGGAGTTGTAAAACTGGAATCATTTACAGCCAGGCCTTACGTTACAGAAGAGTGATCACAAGTGACGAAGAGCTATATTCAAAATTACAAGAATTAAAAAACAACCTCATCATAAGGGGATATCAGATCAATGATATAAATGAACAGTTCAATAAGGTCATTAGACTATCGCAATCGCAGCTACTTGAATCTAAACAAATAAATGACGGCAGTTTCTCCACACCGAAAGGCTCTGTTTTACCCTTCATTATACCCTATGACAACCGCACCATTCACATCCGTGAAATTCTCAAAAAACACTGGAATATTATAACAAAGGATAAAGAATTACAAAACATATGGTCAAAAACCCCCATTCTCGCCTTACAAAGGCACAACAACCTTGGAGATTGGTTAACTCATACTAAATTTTGAGCATCATATGACATTGTAAGATACCTCGATACCACACCATCAACATTACTATTATGTCACACCAGACTCCAATGCTTTTTCTATTCGCGATTTATCTGCATAAACAAGATATCCCAATTTTATAACCATTTGTCTATATATGCAACATACTTCTACATTCAAAGGATGATACATGCCTCTATGGCTACAATATACATATTTTATATACACTGCTACAACATATTAACACACCTTTGCTGGCATCATCCCTGGACGCAGGGGTGAGGGGGCACCCAGGTGTAAAAGAGCATACTGATCATAAGCCCCGAAATGCTCTGCCTGGTGGATTAGCTGAGGAGCTAGCAAGGACTCATAATCACAAATTATATCATACAGATGTGTATATATATGTATAGATATATTGATATGTTTGTGTACATATATAACACTCTGTATGAAAGAGAATAAACAGTATAGAATGCCTATGCTGAAACACGCCCCTTTAATGCGGGTACAGTACTTCAATAGCATACTGGCTCCCAGGTTTCGTTCGGCACAAGACTGTGGGACAGCGCCCGGTACAGCAGGGCTGCGGTTGGTATTACACCATTTTTTCTTAGTTTTCTGACAAGCTGAGCTTGTTATTTGTATGGTTTCAAACAAACAGGCCCTACTTGAATTGGCAACGTTTGATGAGTTGTAAAGATTTAGAGTAGTTTTAAGCTTATCTAGAGGCAGCTTTCAAAAAAAATTTCCAGGGACGCCGGAGAAGGGGGGCGCGGGGGGGCAAGCGCCCCTCCTGCCCTTTGCTAGGAGGGGCAAGGGAGGGGGCAAACGTGCCCTTAGTAATATGTCAAAAAACGTAGTAAAAAACACGATTACACCATTTTGATAGCATTTTTAGCCAATCTAATGGGTGTAGCCACCAAAATTTTCCCGGGGGAGTACCCCCGGACCCCCCGAATTTTCGGCTCGCAACGCTCGCCTTCGGTCTCCAGTACCCTTACAATTCCTTGTCGCCCCCTAGCCCTATCGTTCTCTAAAAAAATTAGCCCCTCCGTCGGAAGTGCTAGCCCCTTTGTCGGAGGAAACCTAGCGCCACCACTGTTATGAATTCATGCTTTGCAGATTTTTGCGGTAAAAAAGGAGACGCAATCAAGCGATGGTCATCTTTTAAAAGAAAGTTACTACGATATAATTGTTTGATATTAAAGAAAAGGTCCTTTGGAGTTAAAACAATATGTTCATGAACCACAGTCAGCAGACTGTGTAAAACTTTAGCGTTCTGGAGTCGTGGCGTAAATAAGGATATTCATAAAGAGGGTGAGGAAAAAACAAATAAATCTAATTTTTCCGACAAAAATCTAATAAGCAACTTTATTTTTAATGACCTTGGACATAGCTCAACGACTTAAAAAGAAAATCTTCCGATATATTCGGATATATTTAAGTTATATTCAACTTTGAGATCTTTCTCTCAAATTGTAACATTTAGATTTGAAATAAACAGCCGTGTTAGAATTCCGATATGATCGTCTATTTTCTATGTAAATGTTAGGGTTCTTTGCCCCCTCTATCTACGCCCCTGTTTGGGAGACAAAATGGCAAAATGCTAGACTAAGTGAGGAATTATTAACCCAACTATTATAATTCCCTGTATTCATTCATCCCGTATATTCATTTGAAACTTCTGGCTCTCAAAGGGAACTCAGAACTGCAGGATTCCCAGGGGGCATAGTGGTTGGAAGGTGTTACCCTTGGAGGGTAACTGATAGGGTCGGGTGCAAGGATCTCTTTAGAGCTTTTTAATGGGGTTTTACAGCTGAAGTTACTGTTTAGAGCTGGCTGTTGTTATAGGAATTGTTGATGACTATACACTTTTTTTTCGATTGCAAGCCCTGAGATTTTGGGACTTTTTCCCTGCTGCACCCCTTCGCAAAGACCGATTAACCTTTTGTTTGGGGATGGGGCAGCCCTGATAAGAAAATGTAACAAAAGCCTATACTTTACATAAAACAAATGTTTTACTTATGGTACATGTGTTTTTTTGGGGGACCAAGGCCCCCGCCCCTGATATCTCGGTCCTTGCCCCCATGCACTGACCACTGCTGACCGGCAAACAAATGTGACTACGAAGTCATGGTTTGTGACGTCATGAAATTGATGCTGATGCCATAGGGAGCATCAGCTTCGGTATTCAAGCCGGATGACCATGGAATGAAAGCAGTTGCACAAATCTTTATATCCTCGGTTCTGTTCCTTTAACCCTCTTTATCATGATTTAATTCCGGGGTTTTTTCTTAGAATTTGTTATATGAAATCTACACGATGAAATATTTATAATTCACTTAAAAATTTCATTTTTGTAGCGAGAATGCAATGACCTTTGACCAGAAAAGGAAACTAGACCTTTGACCTGATAAGGATTTGTGACCTTTCACCTTCAAGATGATTGGCCTCCTCGCTTCAAAAACAGTCGACAGCCTCGAAATAGGCAAGTCTTCACGGAAAAAAAAATCAATATTTGCCGAATCGGATAGTGAAAATGAGGTTTCGAATCTGTTGCCGAGCAACAGAAAACAAAAGCAGATGGTATCTCCAAAACTAAACGGAGTTGATCAAATTAATATCGGCCCAAGGTGAGTTGGTTTGCTGTCCTCCAAAAACCACTTTATGGGCACAATCGTAACTTTTAAGTGAAGGAACAAAAAACTTTGTTTCAGTTTTGGTTCAAAACGTATTCAATTTTTGTCCAAATGAACCAGTGGACGTTTACATAAGATAACGACTTTTGGCTTTAAGCACAGCCAACTTTTGGCCCCAACGTACTCTGGGTACTAGAGCTCAAGAAATCTGGAGAAGAATGGAGATGAGAGACTTCCCTTCCCGATTTCTTAGGCTCTGGGATCCAGGGTAGCCCCAAAACAGAGCCAAAACTGGCCCTGCCATGAACATATCTAGCAATTAGTGAAACAAGGCTCTTGAAAGAGCATGTGTGTTGATCATGTACTTTGAGGGTTGACCCACTTATTACATAACCTTGGTCTTTTCATCTGCCGTACAATTTACCCTGCAATTGGATAAAGGGATTTTTTTACTCTAAGATTCATTCTCACGCAGATGCCGGGCCTTTATCGCCTTCTTGGTGATGCTATCGCTAGTTGGCATGGTGATGCTCGTTTCTATGGCAGCACTTGGTGAGTTTAAGGAACAGCTCAAAGCTGGTGGCTTCCACCCGATTGTACAGCAAAGCAAAGATCAAGAAGCAAACGTGAATTCAAATTCAGAACGAGATTCTGTAGAATCAGTTCGAGACTATCGCCTGCCTAGTAGTCTTACCCCGCAACGTTATGTATTGTCACTAAATGTTGACACAGAAAGATTGACATGTACAGGTCACGTGGTTATAACAGCGTTGTGCAGAATCGCGACTCACACTATTATACTGCACTCTTCAAAGAATACAATAAATTCAACGAGAGTATGGACATCTGACCACCGTGAAGGTATTTGTTTTCTTGTTTGTTTATATGCATTTTGAGGTTCCAGCCGGGGGTGCTTCATCATCTGGTACTGATATAATTCGATATCTAATTCGTCTGATAAAAAAGTTGCTTTCTTTTTCTCTTTTTCTTTTTCAATACCGGAAACATACTCAGAAAATATTTTAAGAAAAATTGGCCAAAAGATTCCTAAACTTCATTTGAAAGTTTGGTAAACTTCATGTGAACCTAAATTAAAATAACGATTGCTCGAATCTTTATGGAAACGATGAAAATTGTTCGAGTTAAACAAAGCTCGAATTATCGAAAGTTCAAGTTTTTTGAGAGGTTCAAGAAATATACAAGAAAGTTTGTGTTAGAGAAAGTTCGAGATTATTTTTAGCTTGGTGCAGAATCGTTGGAAAAAATTGAATGGGGAGAAAAAGGACGACTATTAATCTATTTTCTTTACCCCCATTCTATTTTTAGATAGAGTCTGCACACAGGTTACAAATAATCTCGAACTTTCTCTAACATAAACTGTTTTTGGGGTTCGAGCCTATTGGGGAAGGTTCAATGGGAAGGCAAAATTATCTCCACTCATTGAAAGCTGGACCTGTTGCAAATCGAAGCTTTAATGAACACTGCTGTAATTGCAAGCATTTTATTTATTCAGAAACTTGAAAAGTGCCTCACCAATGCAAAATGTATTTCAAAATCATGACATAACATATTTTAAGATATTTTTTTCAGTTTGTGTGGTCGAAATCTCGAAACTTCTAAAGATTGATTTTCGATGACGTCACGTATTGTTTTAGAAAGAAGATTCCTTAATCGTGAATGAGATACTTTGCAATAAATATGTCTTCCAAATCATTCCCTGCTTTTTCAAAATTTACTTTGAAGTAACAAGTGGAATCAAGAATATTTTTCGCTCATTTCATTTCTCCTTAATGCAAATTTTCATTTTGTAGATATAATTTTGAAAAATGTGAAAATGGACCCCGAGAAAGAATTTCTGATCTTGCATCTCGCGGAGCCACTGTTGGTGGGAAAGAAATATGAAATAAAGATTGGATTTAATGGGACAATTTCGAACGAGCCGCGTGGTTTTTACAGGATGACGCACGTGTCGAAGAAGGGAGAGGATAGGTAAGAAAGTAGATGAAAGTTATCAAATAAAATAACTGAATCATTAAAGGAGTTTGTAGAGGGCTTTAGGAGAAAAAAAAAGGGTACCTCTGATAATTAAAAGATGCCTTTAGTGAAGTCGAGAAGGATGCCAGAGGTTAACAGCCTTCTGCCAACCTCTGTAAAGTAATACTCCCTACCTCTTGTATTGTTTCTTGGGAAACCTTTTGTGGTCCCCAGTTTAATTATGGAACCAGCATTCAATCTTTTGGTGGTACAAAACTTGAAAATGGCTTTGAAAAAAGCAAAAATTTGAGTAAACTAAAGCTTTTTGTCTGACACTTTTCAGAGTTTAAAACGTCAGAACATAGATCGAAAATGAACCAGCATTCTCTGAGCATAAGCAAGGATGGCTTAGTGGTTGGACTTGCGGATTACAAATCGGAGGCTCAAGTCTATCACCATGACCATACTTTCACTCAGAATGAGGAGAGTTATCAGCTCTCTGTTATTAGAAACAAAGGAATCACGAGGTGTCATTATATGTTCAATTGCTAGGGTGACGGACTAGGTCCAAGGGTCAAGGGTTCGGGTCCAGACATGACTTAACTTTCACCCATAGTGAGGGGACTGGCCTGCTCGCGACATGTGGCCACATCGAGAAGAATGACCAGGACACTACTCGATAAGCATAACTTCTCAGTGTCTCAAAAACTATCATCACATAATCGATAGTGACAAATGAAAGTGTTTACCAACTAATATGCATTTCTGTACTGTGTCCCTTGTATTCTACATAATCTTATACCGAGACAGTGGCGGCGCCAAGGGGTGGTATGGGGGGGGGAAATTACCTCCCCACTTTTCTGAAAATATAGTCTATATATTTCTTCTAAAAATGGATTGAAAAGCGCTGGGTAGGGGTAGATTAAATTTCCCAAGGAAAAGGACGAATCACTGGAATGAGGCGAAAGGGGTGTGCTCACACTGGCCATGCCCATTACCCTCCCACTCTGTAATAGCTGGCGCCGTCACTGTGCCGAGAGATAGCTTCTTGACGTTTCCTTCACTTTATCTTTCTAGAAACTTCTTCATGACTAATCTTGAGCCTGTGTACGCAAGAAGATTCTTTCCGTGTTTTGACGAACCAGCAATGAGGTCAAAGTTCAAGGTCAAAGTTACACATTCTGACACATGGAAGTCAAGCAGCACGATGCCTGTCTCAAGATCTGTGAGTCTCTTCATCTACCTTTCACCTAATTTTTGGCACAGATGTTATATCATTCCCTCTTCCCTCTTCCATATGTTCCACTACCTGTCTTTCAATCGAGAATGCCCCAAGCATCGTACCTTGGTCCAATCTTGTTAATTCTTAATTTAAATTGCTTTTAGCAGTACCTTATTAATTTTTTTACACATACTCCATCTGATGACCAAAAGGTGTCCAACATCTTGTGGTTTCATTGTAGAAGTGATATCTACACAATGGAAAGTTGCCTACAGAAGACACCTCCTTCCCTACTCCAGGCACTTCCATACCACAGACGTCTCCCTGAAAAGAGCACATCTCTACAAAAACATTGAAAAATAACATAGTATTCTTCCATGTTGCATGAACTACTAGCTTTGATGATAGAAATGAGCAAGAAACATGAATCCCAGAGCATGATGTAGGATACATCAATACTTCAACAGTATCTAGTTTGCTAGTACTGATATGAAATTAAATCAAAGTTCATGTTTTCGGTCACTGGATTTTTGGGCCAAGGATTTTAAGCGATCCCGTGTGTTGTATGACAAATTATACTTAGGTAACTCGGTACATTAATAATACATAATTAAAAAACAGACATACACGATTAAAAAGTGTTTTTTTCTCTTAGAACTTTTGATCGTGTATGTGTGTTTTTAGATAATGGTTTATAAATGTACCGGGTTACCTAAGTATAAATCAAAGTTATTACCGATTTTAAGATCTGCTAGTTTTAACCTTGAAAACAAACTATGAGTATTGTGCTTGGTCGCGTTCTCCTTGATCATCTAATAGATAAAAAAAATGATTGCTGTTCGAATAGCTATTATCTAAAATCGAGGACCAACAATGATTTATTTTTTAGTAAGGCAGTTTATTTTTTGGGCAAATATTTAAACAAATCAAGCAACTTAAAATATCACTTTCAGTGGCTGGAAACTTTGTCGAAGCTTCGCAGGAAATCTTGACTTTCTTTTTTTGCTGCCAGGAAGAAAAAGCCCGGCATCTCCCTAACGAGAACACTTCCTTACAACAGTTTTCCCCGTAGCAGTGGACATTTTTCTAAAACGGGCACATACTTGTTACCGAGACCTCTCTTAAACAAAATTCTCTCTGCAACGGGAACCTCCCTGCAAAAAGCGTTTTGCAAGGGACAGTAACTCAAAGGTGTTCCACAAGTGCCCATTCTGGATCTTTCACTGTTGACCTCACGTTTTATTGATTTCCTTTCAGGTGATTGATAAAAACGGACTAAGAGAGGTTGAGTTTCAAGAGACGCCATCCATTCCACCCTATTTACTTTCCTTAGTGATATGCAATATGCGAAGAACTGGTTTGGTTTCGAAACAAGGAATTTCGGTATGCTTAAGCTATTCATAGTAAAATCTAATTAATATTTATGTGAGGACCTCTCCGAAGACTCCCTTTTAACCATATTACAAGAACTGACTTACCCCCGGGAAGAAGAGGACTTTTAGTTAGTTAGAGAGAGGGACTGTTGGAATCAGTTGTAAAGAGTTTTTGGTTTTTATAAAGGTTTGCGTTGGAAAACTATGTCATGTTTTGTGTGTTTATTACTCGAAGCTAATTGATTTGCACTCGAACCGGGCCACATTTACATATTATGAATTAAAAAAAATTAGAAACTTTGCAATGGAAGTCAAAATTAAAACCTAAAGACTTTGTCAGGAGAATGTTTTAAAGGGGGGTATTGCTTGCATGGATATCTTAGAATATTCGATGAAGAAAGCATTCGAATAGAGAAGAGGCAAAACATCAAATCAATTTTAAATGGATAATTGCTTGAATCCTTGCTTGAGTGATTTTAGCTGGTATAATCCCCAAATGAAATTTTTGTTGCAATGTTTTACTACCATGATAAAATTTGGGGTAGTGAATTTACTCATCTACCGCCTTGAACACAACAACATTGGTCTTGAGAAAACATGACTCAGGCCTTTTAAAACTGCCTTTTTCAAAAGCCAAGTTCTTCAAAAATTGCCAAGCGGAATAATCAAATAATCTTTCTAACAAATCTTTTTCGTACTTTCACGACCGTATTTCAATCTTGCACTCCGAAATATTACCAATTATTCCTGTTTATTTACACAAAAAAATCGATTCAATCCCCGTTCACTGTAGCCTGCGTACAGACTTTACTTTTCATTGCGAAGGAGTGCCAGGACGGAACTTCTACTCCTTCGCAATGGAAAATAAAACCTCCATGCTGGCCACGGTCTCCCTTAGTTGTTCTACTTTCAAGTTATGGCTGTTCTGGCCCTTACTTCAGCCTTATTTTCTTCTTTTTCATATACTGGATTTTTCTATTTTTAAGATCAATACATTTTCTCCTGCAACGGATAAAAAACTAACTACTTTTGCAAATGGCGCTGTGGACAAAGCCATCCAGCTGATTGAAAGAGAGTCAAAGATAAAGTTTCCTCTTCCAAAAGTTGGTACGTATATTTGCAAATTACACCGAAATAATTTTTGATCAATTTTCTCTAACAAAAGTTGGCATGTATATTTGCGAATTACACCGAAAATAATATTTGATCAATTTTCTTCTCCAAAAGTTTGTACGTATATTTGCAAATTACACCAAAAATAATTTTTTGATCAATTTTCTTTTCCAAAAGTTGGTATGTATACTTGCAAATTACAGAAAAGAAAGTCTTTGATCACCCAAATTTCCTAATTACATTAGCATGAGCTTCAAATCTTTTAACCACTTTCGCCGTATCTAGTTTCCCTTTCTCGTTCCCGTACATAATTGTTTCATTTTGTGTATTCTAGACATTTTCCTTGTGAATAAGCGCGTTTCAAGTCAGAAGAATGGCTTTGGTCAAGTCATATTGCCTATCATCGATGTCGGGGAACCATTGCAGAAGTTTCGGTTTCTGCAAAGTTTGGCAGAACAGCTTGCGAAATGCGTAAGTACCGATGGTATTGTAGTATTTCAAGATCACAGTAAAAAGCAAGACAGAGGTTTTTGTTCAAGGTAGAGTAGTCGTGGAGAATACACTTAAAAAGAAAGAATGGCCAAACCATTTGTCATGCTGTTACTTTAGGATAATATGAATTGGATTGGCAAACCAAAGCAATGCCGTCGGAACGTAGTTCATTTGGGGGGGATGGCGTCAGTCCATTGTATTGTTCCCATTTCTTTACACAGTTATAAAGGAAATATAGTACAGTTTGAAAATTATGGGGAGGGGGGCTCCTGCCTCCGATGGCCAGCTTCCTATGGTCCAGCAATGAAGCAAAGTTTCAGCAGTTGCCATTGAATCTTGTAAACTTGAAGTTTTGAACAATTTTTAGCAAGCCTCTGAAATTGCATCACACATCATCTGGCCATCCAAACTGGTGTACTGTAAGAGAGGGGAATTTTTGTATCATTTTGAGCGGGAAAGGAGTGAACGATATCCTCAAAGTTATTCGATATTTTGTGTCTCTGATGATTTTTATGTTGATCTTTCTTTTAGTGGTTTCAAGGAATTGTTGGCATGAAATGGTGGTCGGATGGTTGGCTTATGAGGAGCCTCGCAGTGCACATTTCCCATCATGCAGTGCTCAGGCATATGGAGCCTGGCCTAAATATTGGCCATTTCTTTTATATGGAGTATACCCGTCCAACGTTAAAACGAGGCCAGGACATAATGGGTGCGATCACTTTGAATGATGTCCTGAACTCGACTAAAAGTATCGAGAAAAGTTTGAATAGCTGTTATGAGAAAAAGGTATTACTTTAAGCAATTTGATCCGATTATGTATCCTTGCAATACAATCGTACATGATATGAAAAGATACGATACGGTATGAATCTACACGGCATGACGCAAGACTAAATAACACGTCACCATATGACACATCATGACATGAAACGATACAATACAATACAATACAATACAATACGATACGATACGATACGATACGATACGATACGATACGATACAATGCGATACGATACGATACGTTACGATACGATACGATACGATACGATATGATGCAATATAATACGATACGATACAATACAATACGATACGATAAGATACGATACGATACGATACGATAAGATACGATGCGATACGATACGATACGATACGATACGATACGATGCAATATAATACGATACGATACAATACAATACGATACGATACGATATGATGCAATATAATACGATACGATACAATACAATACGATACGATAAGATACGATACGATACGATACGATAAGATACGATGCGATACGATACGATACGATACGATACGATACGATGCAATATAATACGATACGATACAATACAATACGGTACGATACGATAAGATACGATACGATGCGATACAATACGATACGATACGATACGATACGATACGATAAGATACGATACGATACGATACGATACGATACAATACGATACGATACGATACGATACGATACGATACGATACCTTATGCAACAGAACAGAAAATAACACGACACGAAAGGACACGAAACGAAACAATACCACACCTAAAAACACTGGAATACTTAACAGTGCCTTAAACTAAAAACGTTGATCTCGATAAGTACACTGAAAAAAAAATCTCAGCACAAAATTTTCGTTTAAACTTTTGTAAACGGACCCTTAACATCGACTTTTATCTCAATCATGTCATACCCAGATCCCCGCAGGTACCCGCAGATGCCTGCGTGTATCCGCAGATGTTTTCTTTTTGGAGATTCCACAACACACAGTCATGTTTTCTTTTATCTTAGGTTTAGATTCGAAAGTTGACTTTTTACTCAATTACTTTTCTAGGGTGCATCTTTGATTCGCATGGTGAGGGTACTTTTTGGCACGAAAAAGTTTTACAAAACTGTGCAGGTGAGCATAAAGAGTTGAATGTTTACTATAAATTTTCTGTGAAGCTGCATTGAAGATACTAACTAGGCTGTTGCCCGCCAATTGGCCCCAATGGAGTTGAAGCAAGCTCAAAGCACCCCAAAATATTCCTAAGCTTTTTCGTAAACGTAGAAAGTCCCGCTTACACTGTCCCGTTCATAAGCGGAGCCATGGACGGTACAAAGTTCGTTCTCTTTCATAGCAGGGTAAAAACTGTTCCGAATAGCAGAGCAAAATAGTCGCGGTTCCAGGGTGTTAGTGTATACAGAATAGTGACAGTTTTGTCACGGTTCCATATTTGGACAGGACAATGTAAACGGAGTCTTACACATGTCGTACCAAGATTAACGACAAATTTGATGAAAAGAATGGATCTTTAGCATAAAGATAGACAAATATTTATGAATGTAACAGAAAGTGATCCATTTTTGTTGCCACCTTGAGTAAAACAAAAGGGCCAGCAAACATCAAGGGTTCATTTTTTATGCACAGTGTCATCTCGAACTTAGCAATTGAGAAACAACCGTGTCAAATAGAGAAAATATACTATTTTTGCGAAAATAGACTATTAATTTATTTTTTAGTCTTATACTCCAAAAAGATTTTCTACATGAAGAAGCATCGCTGAACCCCCTCTTAGAAGCTCCCAGGGGGGATTAAGCCCCCAAGCACCACGTTATTGGTGCCTAATGCGTGCAAGGGGCATCATGGGGTCCCTAGACTTTGGCATTTGTTAAACTGGTTAAATTTAGACCTTTACAAGCAAAAAGGAAAGCTTCTTATCGTTCAGAGAAATATTGAATTAAGATAAATACTTGGCAATAAATTATACTCTAAAAACTATTTTTTATTTATTTTTAAACAGTCATTTTTGAGAAGTTACCATGGAAAAACAGTATCTATCGGGGAATTCTTTGATTCATTTCCAAAGGTGAGAAATTTCGATTTTTTATCATTTATTGAAATAAAAACATGAACCAATAAAACGTGCCATTTTCCCTCTTTCGTTCTTTTTGAGCCTTTTGACCTACATTCTTCCACAGGATTTCTCGGGAAACCAATTTTTAATTCTTTTTTTCTCACTAGCATAAAAAATCGCTGAATATGACTCTTTTTATGAAAACCTGGGTTCAAGAGCCAGGTTATCCTTATGTCAGACTGAAATATTCTAAAAGAAGGCACAAATGCTACTTTACCCAGTCAAGATTTTTTTCTACCCGCCATCAAGTGAGAGAAAAAAATTTATTGAGGTACGTAAGATATATTTAATGAGGGTCGACGTTGAATTTTGAGCCTTTTCTTACTAAAAGTATGTAGGCCTATACTCTTAAATTTGCTTGTTGTGTTAATATTATTCGAGAAATTTCAGTAGCACTTCTAAAATTTTGAATTTTGGAGCAAAACAATTCAACGAATGTAAAATTAGCCTGGAAAAGAATATTCCAACTATTGGATGATGTTTTATGAATCATGTTGGATAATGAATTATTTGGTTAAAAATTTCTTCATCGAAATACCAGGAAGAATATTCAAAGAATAAAAGTTTGTGCTTAAAATAGTATTATTCCTGTTCAATATTCTTTTGTGTAATCAGGCCTCAAAAAATATGTAAGTTTTAGATTATGGTACCAAGTTTTCAGCTCCTGTTTTTTACATATTATTTAGATAAGTAAAAGTACCATTTATTTACAGTATGTTTCTACAATTACGATCTCATAAAATGCAAGAATAAAATGATTTGAAAATCAGGCCTGTTTTATCAGTATTCCCTCCGCCCTTTTTTATTTTTTAGATAGAAATTTTTGTTATCAATCATTCAATACGTTATCCCTTCAATTCTAAATATATGCCATTAATCTTCTATTCAAGTAGACATTTTTATTATCAATAATTGTCTTAAAACAATAAAAAAAGTAAACTTTTACTAATTGGGTAAAATGTCAAACCAAAACAAAAATATTTCTGCTAAGATTTCAAATCAAAAATAATATCTATGAAAATTGTAAACTTATATTATTTAATATTCTAGTCCGATCTGGCAAATTCCGTTGACCATAAAACTGCCAAAGCGAAGAACAAGGCTTTTGAGAATGGCAAGACGAACAGGCAAGATATGTTTTTTGTAATATTTGATAAAATCCAAATAATATTTAGCATTTCAATTCGAGTCTGCTTATACAAATATCGCTTGCTATAATATATTACACAGTATAACTTAGTTTGTAACGATCTTATAAATAAGTTATGAGGAATATGAATATAAATTTGAGAAACTACGAGAAAGAACATTTACATTTTCAGACTTCTGTCGAATTTACCAAAGATCCTTCTTGCAAAAAATTGCTGTAAATTTGAATATTTTTTAAACTTTTACGCAAATTTGACGATATTGTAAATTAGTTTCAATTCGTGATCTAAAACCTTAACATTTTTTTAATAGCAAAAAAGCTTTACCATATATTCTATTTTTATTTCAGTAACTTTTCATTTACCAACCAACTTTGGCTGGTTGAAAGCAAATGTTGCACAGAAAGGATTGTATCGTGTAAACTACGATTCGTTGATGTGGAAGAAAATAATTCGCGAATTCTCCAGGAGCAATTCGGTATGAAATTCATATTAATTTATTTTAAGGCCATTTTATTTTTAATGAATGGACAAAGATTTAATTTTTAACAAAAAAATCAAGGCTTCAAATTGCAAACCTGAGGTCATTCCTAAAAGAATGGAATATTCTAAATTGGAATCTGCGATTCGATTTATAGAACGCAAAATTCTTTTTTAGAATTTTGACTTCTAAATAAGAATTTCAGAATTCGAACGAACAATGCAAGATTCTACGAAAAGAACTGAGTATTCCATTAAAAGCATGAAGCCGTATGAAAAATCAAGGGCTTCACGATTTCTTGGAAATCATTTATAACTTCCTTGTTATGGAGACACGGGTTTTTTTAAGAATGTTAAAAGTTTTATCCAACCTCGATATTCTTAAGAAATCTTTTGTTTTAAGCCTAAATATATTTTTTAAGCCTAAAAGTGTTCTTATTTTTCTACAAATCTGATTTAGTTTAAGGAGTTGATTTATTGAGATAGAATTACCTGAATGAGGAATGAACTGCGATAAATTTTGCCGAAGGCGATAAATCTTAGCCTTTATGACTTCTATGCCACCCACCCCCTCAACATGGCTTCAACCCTTGTAGAGGGTTTTCAATGCAAATTTTTTTTACTTCCTAGAGCTTTGGGGAGCTTGATCGAGCAGGAATAATTGACGATGCATTTCGACTTGCAAGGTAAGAAATTTAAGATTAAAGTTTGTATAATAGCCACGTACTTAGGTTTTTTATTCTCTTAAGTAAAAATATTTAGAGAAAAGATAAGTTAAAAGTTTGTCCGTTAACCTCAGAGGATTTAGGAGGTTAAAAACCTCTTCATTGATGGTTATTCGTGGAAGCTCAGTATGAAATTTTGCCCAAGAAAGTCAATTGAAATAAACAAATTAAAATTAACAGTCTACTGGCCAATTTCCACCATTGGAACGAAAATAAAAAAGGAATACTTTTAGTTAAATAAAACATTTAGTTAAAATAATTTAACAATGATTTTGACCACTGACGAGCTGGTTTCTGGGAGTCGCTAAATTCAAACCTACCCCCCTTTACTGGCAGTTTTCTTTCGATTCAAAGATATAGATTGAGGACAGATTTTAGATTTTAATAAGATAAAATGATGGAACTAACTATTAGTTCTATATATTTTTCTTGATAATAGAGGTTGGGCGGGGCTCCCCCCCCCCCCCAACTCCCTCTACTTCCTTAGTTCACTTTCCAAAATTGAGTGGCTGTCATTATTGGCGCTGCTGGTCTTGGAATCTCGTTCGGCCATTTTTTGGCATTTCAAAGAACCCATCGTTTTGAAATCTGAAAATGTTTGAACTCCTTTGGGAGAATTTGAAGTGTGTTTTCACCTTGTGACGTCATTTTCAAAGTCTTCGGTTTTAACAAAGCTTTCAACTTGAAGATCAAAATAGGCCTAAGTTTCGCTTCTCGTCATTGTTTGTGATTTCGATTTTCTCACATTTAGGGGAATTGAGGTAAGTAACTTTGCTAGCATGATAGAAGCATTTCCTCTTTACATTAATTTTTTATATATAAACATGATAATATGTTTTGCTAGAAATTTATTTAATTTGGGCTCGTTCGGGCAAATTTCGCGGTTTGCAAAAAACAGAAACATGTCGAAAACATTGATTACATATTAAATCGAGTTCTTCATGCAGAGGTTAACGGAAGTCACAACTTTGTGACGCTTGCACAGCCCCTCAATGCAACCCCGGGCCCCTCATGCGTGGGAACCCTGTCCAAGTTTCAGCATCTGCAGATAGTCGAAAGATTCCATAGCCACAGACCCAAAATAATTTCTGTCGCTCCATTTGAACCAGAACAATTAGGAACTTCTGGAGCATTTCGCTGTTATCGGGGAGAGATAGAAAGGGGTAATATGTCTCAAAAAACGAGAAATCATTCTAACGTTCCAAAGGGGCACGCCTAAGATAAGGGGTTTAGTTGGGAAATACCCTCAGTTGGGATGATACTAAGAAGACATGGGATGCATTTTTACTTGGAGACATTTATCAATTTTACAGAAATTCTTGAGAGTTTAAGAAATTGTGATGCAATTCTGTCTCGACCCAAATCTTTCATTCATTGCTAGTTAGAATATCCAGCTTTTTCTGATAAAGATTTTTTCTTTGTTTATTTCTAGGGCTAGTAAATTGACATTTAAAGTTCCACTCGATCTGACGTCACATTTGCGCGACGAAAAGAGTTCTGTCGTCTGGAGAATTGCTTTGGAACATTTTGAGTATCTTTTGAAGCTCTTTCATGGCCATAAGCAAATTAATTGCGTGAAGGTGAGCCATTCGCATTGCATTTGCTAAATGGGTGGCACAAACCATGAGGCTCTCTTGGACAAAACAAAAATTGTTAGAACACGCCCTTTTTGCTGTCAGAAAAGCTAGACTCTGGGAGAGGGGGGAAGGGACACAAGATTTTTTAGGCCATGCCATTTTTGCTGGCGGAAAACGCCCCTTTACCAACAAGAAACGCCAATTTTACCTGAAAGAAACATCCATCACTAATTTTTGGTAACGTAAATGCAGTTTCAAAATAATAGGATTAAGTCACAAAATATATGTTGCCAAAATGTTACCCCTCCCCTAACATATTCCCGTCGAATTTAGTCGAATTACTAAGTGATCTTGCTGAGAACCTGGGAGACGTGTCTTTAAGTCCTAAATAATCTGTAAGGGGCAGTGAATTCTCATCTTTGTGAAAGAAAAAATTAGATTCGTATTTTTACAAGAGGTACTTTGGAATTGACATGCCTTTGATTAAATGATTGGTTTTCTTTTTATTTGTTTATTTATTAATTTGTTTATTTATTTATGATCGCATCAGAAATATCTCTTTGGACAAGCAATACACATGACAAATTCTGTTGGCTGGCTAAACCAAGGCAGTCTACTTGAAAGGTAATGTAGAATTTGATTTGAAATCATTTACTTAATCACTTAATCAATGAATCGTTAAAGCGATGAGTGTGTTTAGTCGCTGAATCACTGAATCAATGAACCACTAAATCATTGATTCACTGATCATTAATTGATTCACTGTTGTCTGTTGTTCATTGATTCACCAATTAATCGAATCATTGAATCACTGGTCCGTCAAAAGATACAATCCCTTAATCATTGAATCAATGAACTACAGAGGCGAAGTATCAAAGAACTAATGAATCACTGAAGCACTGATTAATCGAATCACTTAAGTATTATTCTAGTGAATCACCTGATCATTGAATCATTAACACAGCAAAATAATGAATGACTTCGAGGGCAATTTCTTAATTCAAAATACATAGAGAATTTAGCTGCGTGTATTTGTTTCGTAAAGGCTTATGATTTTCGGTGTTTCCTGTTCTGATTGCCTTAAAGTTTAAAGAAAATGAGAAGTGTATTAAACAGGACGGTTCTAAGTTGCTATTGTAATCTGATGATCGCATTAAGCGCAGTCTCGGAGTTGCAGTTTAGAACCGTCCCATTTTATCCATCAAAAAACCGAAGTCCATGCATAGTTTTATCTGAAATCTAGAAAAATTATTCTTACTTGACATCTTAAATATTTTCTCTTTTACTTAAGGATGCTTAGAGATAAAATTTTATCATTTGCGGTTGAAGTTGGAGACAAAAGAACAATTGCAGAAAGTAAAAAACTGTTCTACAGAATACTGAACTCGAAAGAAAGGTAAAATTGAATTAATGTTGGAAAATGTGTTCACTACATGACATAAATCCCAAGGTCGCACGCACTCTTGGTCTTAATGCACGAAAGGCTTACTCGATAGCTCTGGGTCAGAAATTTTGGCTGTGAAAACATTTTTTTTCTTCAATAATATTAATCTAGACGATAGCTGTTTGCTGGCTAGAATAATTCGTATGGATGACTGAGGATATAGTTTGTTTAAAGAATATTTAAAGGGTAAACGTTTGACGAACTATCTCTTTTGCTTTTTGGATAGATTATCTGGTAGTTTTGCCAAATAACCTTTGAGCAAGCCCAGCTTTTTTTAACTTTGAAGTGTCCCGCCCACTAGGAGGACTTGGTTTTAAAATGCTGCAGAAAGATGGCATTTCTTTATCATCTTACCTTGCTACCATTAATTTGTGATAGGAATTGATTACACTGACATTTTATTGCTAAAAGCTGCAAAACATAAATGCATTGTCATAATTTTCATTATATTTTATCATATTTTATCATAGATTAAGTCTTCCATATGGATTGAAATGTTTAGTTTTCAAAACTGCGATTGAATTCGGTGGCCAAAAGGAATGGAACGCTGTAGTTGATCTGTACAAATCGCAATTTTCAAAGGAGGACAAGAGACTGTATTTGTCAGCTATTGCTTCATCAAAGTCAACTGACGCTGTCGAAAGGTAGCATTTAATTATTTCCAAAGACCCAACAACCCCCCCCCCCCTCCACACTCCGCCCATCACCTAAGTCATTCCTAAAGCCCTCACCGTCCATTACAATTTTTGCTAAGAGCACCCTAATTACCTTTGAATGTACCTCCTTCTGCCACCATCACACATTATCTTCTTCATCTCATTTCCCCATTACCCTTCTTCCACTGCCCCATTACCCTCGTACCCTTCCGTTCTACTATCTCTATGGTGCCCCTATTTCTCTTTCAATTCATTACGTACGTTCCATAAGAAAGAATCACATAACTTTCTTTGTCAACCAAGAACCACTTCTAAATATCATCCAGTATTTCTGGGGGAAATATATCAATCAAAGCTATTTATTCAAAATTTGTACTAAATGTACTAATGTAAAAATGTACTAATTATCCTTGCCTATTCTTTTTTATCCAGCTTCTTAGTAAACTCATTCAAGTTTGGAAACACAAGCTCGGAACTTTCTTCCATAATAAAGGAGTTATCAACGAAACCAAACAAACAAAACTTTGCCTGGAAACTGATTAAAAATAATTGGGAATCGCACAGTATAAGGTTTGAGAATTTAGCTGTTTAATAATAAAAATTTCTTATAGTCTTGTTGCCTATCGCTTTGGATCTAAGAATAAACTGTTAAGCTTATAAAGATTTTTAAGGGGAGAGGGGGAGGGGATGCGAGCATTTCGGGGGTAAATCCTGAGAACAAAATTATTCATTTTATGTTTTTAAGTACACTTTATATAATAATTGTACTTTGCTTTCTCAGACCCGTTGATTCTGTGATCCCCTGCAGGAATATCTAAGACTTCCTAGCGGATTTCTAAGAGGAGCACAGATTTTTCGAGCAAAAATTATCTTCAAATTCTTTTAAATTTCTAATGCAACTTTTATTTCATTGATTGGGCTTGGAAAAAATTATCAAAATTTTTATTTTATCTTGAAATGGTGACGAATTTTTAGTAATTTTCTTTTTGTGCTAAATAGCAAAGATCAACTTGGTGAAATAGTTGGACGATTAGTTGAAGGAATGAAACCAGGAAAAGTCGCCAAAACGGTGAGTTTAAAAGAAAGGAGTCATAAAAATATTTGATGTTAACTTTTGTTGGGGAGACAAGCAAGAGAAGTCTATAAATAAGCAAGACAGCCCTCCGTCTGTGGGTTGAGCATGTGAATGGAGCGAAGTAATAGTTACGCATGCACTCTAACTCCAGGACGGAGGGTTGCTTCGCACATTTGAAGAATTTCGCTCATTCAGCTTCCAACGATTGTGTATGGTAGGTTATGTATTGCATAATTATGTATGATCATGCATAATCATACTTAATTTAGAGTTATACTTCATAGTTAGAGTTATAATCAATTATGTATAATTTATGCAAATATAGACGTTTTATTGTAAAGCGAGGCAACATGTAGAAGAGGCTAGAGTTCCCTTCGTTTGGCCTAGTTTAGCCCCATGAATTGGAGTTATCGTAATGGCATTTTCTTCATAAAAACGAAGGATTCGTTATTCTTTAAATTAAGAACTTCTTAGAGAATTCTTTGCCACAATCAGTGCTCCAGTTGGGCTGTATCTGGGAATAGAGTATGAGAGAGAGAGCCTTCCATTTTCGATAAAACCATTTTAATTTAAACAAAATTGGGAACAGTTTTCCTTCGAATCGCAGGGAATTTCATTTTTGACCTAAAAATCATCCAGTTATGTTACTTGCTCTTAGTTAACATCCTTCAAAAAGCTTTCCTTTTATAGAGTTTAAATAAACATTTCAGTCTTCACACTGTATCTTGTATTCTAGGCTTTAGATATGTTATCAAAACACGAAGAACTCAAGCATTTACATCAGAAAGTTGAGAACCAGCTCCGACATGCTAGAAACCACGTGACACAAATAGAAAGATGGCTTCTAACTGGCAAGCATGGAACAAATTGTCATTGAGCTGAAGGTGCAAAAGTAGTCAAGGTACATGTTAGTTTTTAAGTTAAAAGTCTGAATCTATGCGTTGTGGGATAAACTTTGTCATTTAGAATAGATACTTGCGTATTCGTGTAAAGGCGGCTAATCATAGAAAAGAGGCTAGCTTGGGATAAAGAAAAGAGGCTTTGCTTGGAAAAGAGGCTGACAAAAATTCAGAAATGGTTCCCAATTTACCGTGCACTTTAATTTTGATCAGCAATATTTCTTGCCTCAATCAACATTATCAAAATTATTTACTTCATCCTTGCAGAACAACAAATGGTCTACCATATTTATCATAAGGTTTCACGACCTCATATTTCTTTTCAAGGTAATATTACGTAAATATCAGCATAACACCCAATCAGTGTCCTCTAGCCTTTAGTCCTCCATCTTCACCCTAACCCTTACCCTAACCCTAACCCTAACCCTAACCCTAACCCTAACCCTAACCCTTACCCTAACCTCAAGTGATCACCTGCAAGAATCTCCTAAAGAGCCATTAGAACATCATTTTATAGCAATTTTTAATTTATGACTTTCTTTTCGAGAGATTAATTTTGAAATTCAAACACAATTTTGAATAACAGAATTGACAAGCATAATGATTCTTTCATTAACCCATCACTCTTTTCCATCTAACTCTCAAAGTAAGTGAAATCAAGAAAATTTATTTTCCATTACAATATTGCAATTCATCAACTTATATTCTAACAAAAATTAAATTTGATTTTCGTAATGCTGAGAACCAAAAGCCGCCTTTTTATCAAAGTTATTGCCTTACCTCTTGAGCCAGTGGTGTTGCGACTAAAACTGTCTTTTATCAGGAATATAGCCTTACTTTTTTGAAAAAGGATGTTGGGACTAAAAATTAACTTTTTTTAAAGCCTACAGGCTTACTTTTTTGTCCAAAATGACTGGGGCCAAAAACTGCCTTTTTAACAAGCCTGTAGCCTTGTTTTTTGTCCAAAAATGATGGGGCTAACAATTGCCTTTTTATCAAGCCTACAGCCTTACTTATTTGACAAAAAATGATGAGGCTAAAAACTGCCCTTTTGTCAAGACTTTAGCCTTGCTTTTTAGGCCAAAAATGATAGGGTCAAAAACTGCCTTTTTGTCAAGACTTTAGCCTTGCTTTTTAGGCCAAATATGATGGGGTCAAAAACTGCCTTTGTTCCAAGACTTTAACCTTGCTTTTTAGGCCAAAAATGATGGGGCCAAAAACTGCCTTTGTTTCAAGACTTTAGCCTTGCTTTTTAGGCCAAAAATGATAGGGTCAAAAACTACCTTTTAGTCAAGACTTTAGCCTTGCTTTTTAGGCCAAAAATTATGGGGTCAAAAACTGCCTTTGTTCCAAGACTTTAGCCTTGCTTTTTAGGCCAAAAATGATGGGGCCAAAAGGTGCCTTTGTTCCAAGACTTTAGCCTTGCTTTTTAGGCCAAAAATGATTGAGTCAAAAACTACCTTTTTGTCAAGACTTTAGCCTTGCTTTTTAGGCCAAAAATGATGGGGTCAAAAACTGCCTTTTTTCCAGGACTTTAACCTTGCTTTTTAGGCCAAAAAGGATGCGGCCAAAAACTGCCTTTTTTCCAGGACTTTAACCTTGCTTTCTAGGCCAAAAATGATAGGGTCAAAAACTACCTTTTTGTCAAGACTTTAGCCTTGCTTTTTAGGCCAAAAATGATGGGGCCAAAAACTACCTTTTAGTCAAGACTTTAGCCTTGCTTTTTAGGCCAAAAATGATGGGGTCAAAAACTACTTTTGTTCCAAGAGTTTAACCTTGCTTTTTAGGCCAAAAATGATGGGGCCAAAAGGTGCCTTTGTTCCAAGACTTTAGCCTTGCTTTTTAGGCCAAAAATGATGGGGTCAGAATTGCCTTTGTTCCAGAACTTTAACCTTGCTTTTTAGGCCAAAAATGATCGGGTCAAAAACTGCCTTTTTGTCAAGACTTTAACCTTGCTTTTTAGGCCAAAAATGATGGGGCCAAAAACTGCCTTTGTTCCAAGACTATAGCCTTGCTTTTTAGGCCAAAAATGATGGGGCCAAAGGGTGCCTTTTTTCCAAGACTTTAACCTTGCTTTTTAGGCCAAAAATGATGGGGTCGAAAACTGCCTTTTTCCAAGACTTTAGCCTTGCTTTTTAGGCCAAAAATGATGGGGCCAAATCTGCCTTTTTCCAAGACTTTAGCCTTGCTTTTTAGGCCAAAAATGATGGGGCCAAAAACTGCCTTTTTCTCAAGACTTTAACCTTGCTTTTTAGGGCAAAAATGATGGGGCCAAAAACTGCCTTTTTGTCAAGACTTTAGCCTTGCTTTTTAGGCCAAAAATGATGGGCCAAAAGTGCCTTTGTTCCAAGACTTTAACCTTGCTTTTTAGGCCAAAAATGATGGGGCCAAAAACTGCCTTTTTGTCAAGACTTTAGCCTTGCTTTTTAGGCCAAAAATGATGGGGCCAAAAACTGCCTTTTTTCCAAGACTTTAGCCTTGCTTTTTAGGCCAAAAATGATGGGGTCAAATTGCCTTTGTTCCAAGACTTTAACCTTGCTTTTTAGGCCAAAAATGATGGGTCAAAAACTGCCTTTTTGTCAAGACTTTAACCTTGCTTTTTAGGCCAAAAATGATGGGGCCAAAAACTGCCTTTTTTTAGCCTTGCTTTTTAGGCCAAGACTTTTTTCCAAGACTTTAACCTTGCTTTTTAGGCCAAAAATGATGGGGCCAAAAACTGCCTTTTTGTCAAGACTTTAGCCTTGCTTTTTAGGCCAAAAATGATGGGGCCAAAAACTGCCTTTTTCCAAGACTTTAGCCTTGCTTTTTAGGCCAAAAATGATGGGGCCAAAAACTGCCTTTTTCCAAGACTTTAGCCTTGCTTTTTAGGCCAAAAATGATGGGGCCAAAAACTGCCTTTTTTCCAAGACTTTAACCTTGCTTTTTAGACCAAAAATGATGGGGCCAAAAACTGCCTTTTGGTCAAGACTTTAGCCTTGCTTTTTAGGCCAAAAATGATCAGGCCAAAAACTGCCTTTTTCCAAGACTTTAGCCTTGCTTTTTAGGCCAAAAATGATGGGGCCAAAAACTGCCTTTTTTCAAGACTTTAGCCTTGCTTTTTAGGCCAAAAATGATGGGGCCAAATCTGCCTTTTTTCCAAGACTTTAGCCTTGCTTTTTAGGCCAAAAATGATGGGGCCAAAAACTGCCTTTTTCCAAGACTTTAGCCTTGCTTTTTAGGCCAAAAATGATGGGGCCAAAAACTGCCTTTTTTCCAAGACTTTAACCTTGCTTTTTAGACCAAAAATGATGGGGCCAAAAACTGCCTTTTGGTCAAGACTTTAGCCTTGCTTTTTAGGCCAAAAATGATGGGCCAAAAGGTGCCTTTTTCAAACTTTAGCCTTGCTTTTTAGGCAGAAAATGATGGGGCCAAAAACTGCCTTTTTTCAAGACTTTAGCCTTGCTTTTTAGGCCAAAAATGATGGGTCCAAAAACTGCCTTTTTTCAAGACTTTAGCCTTGCTTTTTAGGCCAAAAATGATGGGGCAAAACGTGCCTTTTTTCCAAGACTTTAGCCTTGCTTTTTTAGGCCAAAAGTGATGGGGCCAAAAACTGCCTTTTTTCCAAGACTTTAGCCTTGCTTTTAGGCCAAAAAGGATGGGGCCAAAAACTGCTTTTTTCCAAGACTTTAACCTTGCTTTTTTGGCCAATAATGATGGGTCCAAAAATGCCAAAAGGGGCAAAAAACTGCCTTTTTTCCAAGACTTTAGCCTTGCTTTTTAGGCCAAAAATGATGGGGCCAAAAACTGCCTTTTTGTCAAGACTTTAACCTTGCTTTTTAGGCAAAAAATGATGGGGCCAAAAACTGCCTTTTTTCAAGACTTTAGCCTTGCTTTTTAGGCCAAAAATGATGGGGCCAAAACTGCCTTTTTCCAAGACTTTAGCCTTGCTTTTTAGGCCAAAAATGATGGGGCCAAAAACTGCCTTTTTTCCAAGACTTTAACCTTGCTTTTTAGGCCAAAAATGATGGGGCCAAAAACTGCCTTTTTTCCAAGACTTAAGCCTTGTTTTTTGGCCAAAAATGATGGGTCAAAAACTGCCTTGTTCTAAGACTTTAACCTTGCTTTTTAGGCCAAAAATGATGGGGTCAAAAACTGCCTTTTTGTCAAGACTTTAGCCTTGCTTTTTAGGCCAAAAATGATGGAGCCAAAAACTGCCTTTTTTCCAATCCTTTAACCTTGCTTTTTAGGCAAAAAATGATGGGGCCAAAAACTGCCTTTTTGTCAAGACTTTAGCCTTGCTTTTTAGGCCAAAAATGATGGGGCCAAAACTGCCTTTTTTCCAAGACTTTAGCCTTGCTTTTTAAGCCAAAAATGATAGGGTCAAAAACTGCCTTTTTGTCAAGACTTTAGCCTTGCTTTTTACGCCAAAAATGATGGAGCCAAAAACTGCCCTTGTTCTAAGACTTTAGCCTTGCTTTTTAGGCCAAAAATGATAGGGTCAAAAACTGCCTTTTTGTCAAGACTTTAGCCTTGCTTTTTACGCCAAAAATGATGGAGCCAAAAACTGCCTTTTTTCCAAGACTTTAACGTTGCTTTTTAGGCAAAAAATGATGGGGCCAAAAACTGCCTTTTTGTCAAGACTTTAGCCTTGCTTTTTAGGCCAAAAATGATGGGGCCAAAACTGCCTTTTTCCAAGACTTTAGCCTTGCTATTTAGGCCAAAAGTGATGGGGCCAAATGTTGCCTTTTTTCCAAGACTATAGCCTTGCTTTTTAGACCAAAAATGATGGGGCCAAAAACTGCCTTTTGGTCAAGACTTTAGCCTTGCTTTTTAGGCCAAAAATGATGGGGCCAAAAACTGCCTTTCTATCAAGATTATAGCCTTACTTTTTAGACCGAAAATGATGGGGCCAAAAACGCTTTTTAATCAAGACTATAGTCTTGCTTTTTAGACCAAAAATGATGAAGCAAAGAGCTGCCCTTTTATCAAGATTATAGCCTTACTTTTTAGACCGAAAATGATGGGGCCAAAAACGCTTTTTTATGAAGACTATAGCCTTGCTTTTTAGACCAAAAATGATGAAGCAAAGAACTGCCTTTTTATCTAGCCTAAAGTCTTATTTTCTAAACCAAAAATGATGGGGCCAAAAACGCTTTTTAATCAAGACTATAGTCTTGCTTTTTAGACCAAAAATGATGAAGCAAAGAACTGCCTTTTTTATCAAGCCTATAGCGTTACTTTTTTATCAAAAATGATGGGGAAAAGCACCCATGTCAGCAAGACTGTAACGTTTCTTCTTTGCCATACTCACTTTAAATCACTGTCAAAACGCTCCACCCAGCATGATTATCGCCCTCCCTCAATGACAAAACGATCAGGACAAAAAAGACATCATTTAGCAAGACTGTAGACTTGCTATTTGCCACAAGGGCCAGAGAAAAACACTCTTGTTAGCAAGCATTTAACCTGATATTCTTTTGCCAAATAGTCACATCTAAAAAGACCCCTTGAATCAAACCTTGAGACAGCCTTTTTTCTCAAAATAGGTACGACTTAAAACACCCCTCCTTGCATGCCTTAAGCCTTACATTTTTGCCATATCAGTGGCAGCTAAAAACATCCCTTTTAGCACCCGTTGGCCTTACATTTTTACAACCATAGTGACGACCAGAATGATCGACTTTAAGATATTCAAATAACTAGAGATATATAGAAATTAAAAAATTTGCATCAAAATTAATTATCATTATGATGATTTTGACAAGGGTTGAAAAAACATCAGCTGTTGTTTACAACTTCACAAAAAAGGGTCTTCTGGTTTTAAGAAATATATTAGGAAAAGGGAAGAGGACGAGGGGTAAAAGATAGTTTTAGGGATGTGTAATAGAAAGGGGCACGAGGAAAGGGTTATAGGCTCGGTAAAAGGAAAGATTATGATAAGGGTAATGTCAAAGATTATTCGAAAAACATGTTGTTTACAACTTCGTAAAAAGGGTCATTGTAAACACTTGTATGTCGCTTTCACTTCTGATGTAAACAAATTGGTAAAAGATGGCAGCAAGTTCAAAGTGCAAGGTTTCTCTTGGGGGTTTTTCGTTGCCATTTCTCTTGACTACCATCATGGACGTCAACAAGGGCGCAATATTAAAAACTCCTGTCTTTTTCAAAAACTGCACTCAGTTTTATGTCCCAAGTTGTTTTGAAAGAGAGCCTACGCATTGAAAATGTCCTTGGGGGTTACTGTCTTCCAGAATGTTCTCGCTTGAAGTTTCTTAACACTGTAAGGTCTCTAGTGGTGTCAAAATGCACCCTGTTATCCCAAGCGCATTCGTTGCAGAGATGGTTGCCTTTTATGGTCAAAACTGACCTCAGTTGATGAGCAGGGGTGTGAAAAGCGTGCAATAGAGAGTATCCCAGAATGCACTAGCAACATGTCAAGCCAACGTGCTTTTCGATTTTCCCCTCATTCACGAAGACCCGATGTCGCGGACGGTCAGGTTCAGGAAACTGCTGTCATCTACGTTCACATGTAAGTAGAGAAATTTAGTTTACAAATATCTCTGCTTTTTCTTTAATGCAAAAAAGGGTTTGGTAGATGACAAATCAGCTGGAAATTAGACTGGAAATACAAACTATGGAGTTTTTCTTAAACAGGGAAAGATTTGCGTCTCTCCACGTGCAGAACCATTCGAAAGTTTCTCGGGGTTTTCGAGGCTTCGACAATGCACAAGCTCGTTAACTTTGCTTTAATATCTTTCTTTAATTTCGATGTTAATATGACTTTCTTTTTTCTTTCAGCTACACAAATTGCTGATTTGATATGCAGAATGCAGTTGGAACTGGTAGGGATGGTGCCTGGCTCCTCAAAAAGAGAAAACACCATTCAGATGAGGAGAGCCCGTGGGTTAACGTCAATAGCTAAAAAGGTGATGTTTAGTTAAAATTCATTAATTTCTGTTAAAACAAACTTTGCTTTAATCACTTTTTCCTATTCTAATTTTTGTCGTTTTTTCTCAAAGAAGCATTTTGACTTTTTCTCGTTTGGATTAATTTCGTTCCATTTATAGTAACTCGAATTTCTTATCATTTCAGCCATGGTATAAAGTGTAATGGAAGATTCTTCATCGTTTCATCGTGACCCATTCTGCAGCCCCACGTGTGAAGATCCCAAAAGAGCTATGGTCACAGCAAAAACGGTGAGTTTTGTCACTTTTTAATCGTTCTTTTGGAATTTTTATGGTAGATGCTAGAAGAACAATCCTTGAAGAATCATCGATTCTACGTTTTTAAAGCTCCTCGCGGATTTCTATCAATTTTTCCCAAATCAAAGTGTCCCTTATCGAGATTTACAGTTTAAAACAAGAATGACGCATTTGCAACTATGAGCCAAAACTGACCAGCATGGGACAAAACGATTTGAGCGCACTCGTTTTCTGTTAAAGCGAAAATACTCTAAAAATGAACTGAGGGATATACTTTCTTCTGAACTAGCGAACTGAGGGAACTCATAAACAAATTTTTCATTTTTTCTTGCTTTTACGTGCTATTTGGAAGATCTGTAGGGCCAGAAGTCTATTTTGTAAATCACATTTATTTAGTCTTGGTTTATAAAATGCACAAGATTTTCGGTGAAGCATTGATTAGAAAATTTTTCTGCTTTTCTCGTACGATACAACAAGCGAAAGATAACTTTAGCATCGTTTCATGATTGACTTTTCTCGTTTACTCGTTTAGATTCATTTCGTTCCATTCAATAATAACTCGAATCTCTTTTCTAAATATTTTTTTTTATTTCAGCCATGGCATAAAGTCTAAAGGAAGATTCTCCATCTGCAGCCCTAAGTGTGAAGATCTTAAAAAAGAGCAAAAGTCCCGGCAAAAATGGTGAGTTTTGTCATTTTTCAATCTTTCCTTGCAAATTTAAGGTTGATGCTAGATTAAACCCTGAAGAATTATCGATTATATGTTTTTCAAATTTTCCATTATCAAAACATTTACAAGTTTACAAGAATTACGCAATTAAGGTCGTTGATAAAAATTCACCAGCTTGGGCAATTCTAAGGTAATTTGCCAAGTCAAAATTCAAAATTCTTGCGCTGAATGCCTCGTTTTTTGTGTAACTTTACCGTGAAAATACTCTAAAAATGAATTCCAAATTCAAGGGGTATCGAATGAATTTTGACTTTTCTATTAATTTCTGTACACGGGTATTTTGATGAATCCTTGATTAAAAAATTATGATGCCTTTCTCGTACGATGCAACAATCGGAAAAATATTTTGCAATTTTTTATGATTCTGGCTGCTAAAATTCGATAATTTATGAAAGTTTTTTAAGCTTGACGATCGTATATTTGTGCAAGTTTTTGAATTAGAAATCTATCAAGAGTCTCTTCCACTTCCTTCCCTATATTTTATTACAACACTTAAAAACATGTTCTGAAAGATTTGTACAATTTTCTTGAAACTAAAGGACCTAAAAAGATTAAAGGACATATTGATGAATTCAATTATTAGGCTATTTAGATATTATTGATCGAAAATTAAAATAAATTCAACGAAGGAATTATTTTTGAAAATTGCCGCCGCAACTTTCTGAAACCTTTTCGATATTAACTTTTACGTGAAAATTTTTAGAATAAAATTTTCAAAATATTTGTTGCCCTCGATTAGAAAATTTTTCTTTTTCCAATTTTTTTCAACTTTTCCGCGCTAATATTTCGGATTACTACCGGCATGTTCTCGATATTGTATATAAAAGCCAGTTTAAAACAATTTGCTCTGAAAATTTATATCAATTCTAGAGGATACGAAACTACAATTTCAGCTATCTTCTGCAACATTTTTGTCAGTTTTTCAAATTAAAAATCTAGCAAAAGCACTTCTTTAATTTCTTCTATTTTATTACACTACTTTAAAAAAGTATTTTCTGTGAAATTTCTAGAACTATTTTCAATTTTATGGATTTTTACAAGTTAAGGGACATTTTATAGATTCAATTGTTAGGCCATAGGAAAATATTGTTTGAAAATTAAAACAAATTTTGCTGAAGGAAGTACTATCGAGACTTTGAGACGCAATCTTCCTAATTTTGCTTCAGTGGTGGATTTTTACGCAAAAATGTTGGGTAAAATCAGTCAAAGTATTTTTATTGCACTTTCTCAGAAAAGCTTGCTTTTTCAATTTTGTTTCAAATTTTCTTATAAACTTGCTCGAAAATTTTCTTATAAACTGTCTTTTGTATAGAATTTTTGCATTGTTACAACTGTTTCAAAATGCTATGAAAATTCATCTTTGAAAATTTTTCTACTATTCGCCTATGGAAATCTTTCAAAATTACAAAATTGTTTAGCGAAATTTTCAGGAAATTTCAGTTAAAATATTAATTGCACTAACTTAGGAAAGCTTGTTTTTACCAATTTTGTTTCAAAGTTTTTTAAAAGTAAACTTGATAATTTCACGCGACATTTTTCACATCTAATTTCGCTGTTTTTTTCAAAAATCAGCTTTAACTAAAAGATTTTCTCTTAAAACTTATTATTTTTTAAGAAACTTATTTAAAAAAAAGCTATACTTTCAGCTGTTCTTTCCATAGATTTGTTTGCATTGTTACAATCATTTTAAATTTTTATGAAAAGTTCATCTTTAAAAAATTTATATCACGGAAATCAATTAAAAACCAAAACTAAACAGGTTTATTCAGCGAAAATTTTCAAACCATAAAATGCATTCTTCATATACAGAGTTTGAAATTAATCAGGTGGTTAAAGGATAAATCGTGGGACAAATGTTTTCTTCACAATCTTCAAAATTTTTCACATTATTATTAGAAATTTCTTTACATTTACTGACACATCTTTCATACTTTTAGGCATCCTCCATACCCCCATTAACACCCACATCAACCCTCTACCCCCCATCTTCCACCCACTCAATTCCTACCTGATGATGACTGGATGGGACACAAGAGAAATAAGAAGAAAGAAAAGAGACGAGAGAGAGACAGTTGGCAATTCCTGACGAGGCAACTCCCCGATGATGATGATGATGATGATGATGATGATGATGATGATGATGATGATGATGATGATGATGATGATGATGATGACTGCGAAGAACATTCATTCTCTGTCCAAAGTTGGGTGAAATTGACTTTCATTATGTCTTGTAGTATATATACCAGTTATTTGCAGTTATTTATACCAGTTTTTTGCAACCTTGATACCATTTTAAGATTACATTCTTTAGACTGGTAAAAACTGAAAGCCCTCCATTTTTCGCTATATCAATCAAGTCTTTGTTTGTCAAGCAAACCCACTTTTTCAAGTATTAGATCTTCTTAATTGATTTGATCTCAACCCAAACCTACCCAACATTTTTCAAATAAAATACAATTATTTTGTGCTCATTGCCTTTAAAGTTCCCCTCTTTAAAGAAACGTTTATTAAAAGAACAAAATATTTTAGCAGTTTCCGAAACATTTAAGGAACCCAAGAGTTTTAAGGTACTTTAGTATTTCTCTAGGAGCAAGTCATTAATTTCAAAACTTTTAAGATTTTATATCTTTCCTTGTATATCGCTTATCAAATACAGATCTTGATGTTTGAATAAAACTAATTTTCCCCAAATAGGTATGTTTCAACAACCCACAGAAAATTTTGCAATCGATTTAGTATCATTGATAACTAGTACACTGCCAATTTTATTGCCTTTTCGCCTTTTTTGAAGATATAACATTTTGCAATTCTTTTGGGCACTTTTGCATTTCATGTTAGGCTAAGTAAATTGTATTTAAGATGCATTTCTTTGCTATTGTAGTTTTAATGATATTTGTAGAGTATTTAACTTAATTTGATTGTTGTTAATGATTTTTTGCGTTGTTATCTTGGCATTTTCTCTTGAACTGGATCTTCGACTTGCACGTCGGGATCTGGTCCCTGGGAAGTCCAAGTTCCACGCGCCTTTGTTCTTATTGTTTTGGTTTTTCTGTCGTTATTGTTCCAAGAACAATGCCGACCGAAAAACCAAGACAATGGGAACAAAGGGGCTGAGGAACTGGACAAATCCCATGGGACCAGATCCCATTCTACAATAGGGGTGGAGTAGGCAAAACCTATCTTAAACTTTTGTTTCATCGCTATTGTTCTCTATTGTTCTCTCTATTGTTTTAAAAACCAAAATTACCTACTTTATCTAGAAAAAGGGCCTACAAAAGTAGCTACCAACAACTTAGGCCTACTAAGATAAGTAAACAAAGATATTATTCTAAGTTAAAAGAAAATATTAAGTTAAGATAGGAATTAATTGAGAAGTTTTTGCAAACTTTATATATCCAAAAATATAGTTAAAAAACATTAAAAGAGATAGCCTATAATTGAGAAGTTTTTGCAAACTTTATATATCCAAAAATATAGTTAAAAAACATTAAAAGAGATAGCCTATAATTGAGAAGTTTTTGCAAACTTTATATATCCAAAAATATAGTTAAAAAACATTAAAAGAGATAGCCTATAATTGAGAAGTTTTTGCAAACTTTATATATCCAAAAATATAGTTAAAAAACATTAAAAGAGATAGCCTATAATTGAGAGATTTTTAAGACGAGAAAACTTTAAGCAATGAAAAGATTATTCAAAAAATTATTGAGCAATAAAGAGTAGACACAATGAAAGAAGACGCTAATTATTAACTAAGAAACTTTCTAAGAGAAGATAAAATGTTTATAAATTGATAAATTGTTATTAACAATTAAAGAGACAATGAATAATCAATGAATGACTAATGAAAATGAATAATAAACAATTTTATCAAAATAAATAATGTAAGTTTGTTTGCTTAATTAGTAAAATTATTACTAGAAACTTTTAAGTATCTCCGCCTTTTTGAAAGTTGAAAAATAAAAATGCTGTAATTGTGATCAAGAGTAGGATTTAAAAAAAAAACTAAATATTGGCTATAGTGTTTGTAGGGAATAGAAATGTAAATAGTTTTTTGAAAACCCGTTTTTTAGAGTCAAACAAATATTTCATTTTTGCTCGAAAAGGCTCTTATTTAGTACTTGTAAGTATATTTTAAAAATTAAAGGGTTGGAATTCACATCTACAAGACTTGTAAAGGAAATTGTTTCAAACATTTGTAAAAGGATCCGTTTTGAAAAGAAGAAACAACTTATTTCTCGATTTTATTTCGTAGACTGATTTCATTTCTTGATAAAGACAAAACTGACGTTTTTTCTCGAAGACGTTTTGCAGCAAAATAATAATGGCTCTCTATAAATATCTTGCTCAAAATTAAAAGAATGTCCTAAAGGCAACAAAAAATATCTGAAACAGCATACCTTTGTTTATATACTGTCATTTCAATCGGGTGAATGTGTCTCTTGTCAACATCTTTAGGCAATTCGTCAGCATCGCAACAGCAATCTAGCATCACATTTGGCAAGAATTCACACCAGACTCTAAAATCCATAGCCAAGCTCTGAAACAAAGATAATTTACTTAAATACAAGAAGAAAACAATATCAAACCATAATGAATGTTTATTCATGAATATTGGACTAGAAATCGTCTGTGGGATTTCATTTCTTTCAAAATCACAAAGCATCAAATTCTTCTAATAATTAATAACGATTTCAAATGCCTAAAAGTTGTAAACATTTGCTTCTCTACTGAAACTTTTAACATTTCAACCACGAGGCTCCCACATTCAACAATTTCTGATTTCATGTAACTTTTTTGCGAGCAATTAACCCCAGGCAAGAACAGGACAGTGACCAAACAAGTGAAATCATGTCGCTGAGAGAAGGAATGAAAAGCTAATGTGTCAATAGGCAGTTTTCTGGTTATATTTTGAAGTATTTCGCGACCTTGGTGATAGGTACTGAAACGAAAACTGAGAAAGAAACTTTCACGGGTGACTTCAAGCAATGGAAAGCAATTGAAATAGTTTGGATGGCAAAGACAAAAGCAGAAGTGACACCATTACCAACTTTTGTATTGAAGATCCAGGACTAAAATGAAATTGGATTGTTCGAAGTAGAGAGTGTTTATAGAACTGGCCTATCATAGGGTTCTTCTGCAATGAAAGCTGAATTGAAAGCAGATTCAAGTGTCAAATACAATTGGAGTACAAGCACCACAATGAAACTCATTATAAATGGGCTTTTCAGCAAAAAGGTAAAGATAAACCAAGGGGCATTTTCATTTGCAGCAAAAAGGCATTTTTGGCATGTGGGAATTCAGGTTAACAATTGAGACAAAACCGGAAACATAACAAGAGAATTTCACAAGAACTAGGCCACGATAATCGGAAAACAAAAATCATATTCTCATCTTCCACTGTATTTGACATGTATCTAAACTTAAAACCTGTTTAGAAAACACCCATAAGACTTCACATCAAACAATAAATAGAAATATTTTTAGGAGGCTGTTAAAGTGAGCTAAAAAGCAGATGCTGAAAATAACAGTACTTGAATTAAATTCAGGAATATGCAAAAATAGTTTTTATTCAAGGGATAATTTAATCTGGATCTTGCAATTTGGTTAAATGATGATCGAATCTACTTTTGGCACTTCCAATTTAAATCCAGGTCCTACATTATACAGAATTTAAGATCTTTGATGCGAGTTTCTCATAATTTTTGGGGGGTACGGCAAGGTGAAAAACCACAGCCGATTTTTCCTTGTTCCTATTATTCTCTGGGTGGTAGCTCCCGCGAGAGGGCAAATCTCAGCCTTAACCAGGATCAATTTAATCATTTATTTTGTAACGGAAAAATATTAGTGATCGTTTTCGCTTTACTTTGTATTTTTGAGTTCTGCAATTTTTTAGCTAGTCTTGCAATTTCTAAAAAATTTCTTAGGGGAAAGGAAGGACGTAGGCTTGAACTGGGCCAATCTTACACAAGACAGCAATAAAATGAAATGTCAATTATGGTTTGCAGAATGGTAATAACAATATCAAATTGATTGTGCAATGTTAACATTCTCGAGTCCAAAATAAACTGATTCTTCCCCCTACATATTAATTTTTCGAACAAAACCCACCCCCAAAAACAATGACATCACTATTACCGACCCCCTGTCATCATTTTCGTGCCTCGTGTATCAAAAACTGTAAGGTGCATATAATAAAGCTCGCCGTCATTGATAATGAGCTTTGAGAAACAAGAAGGAGGAACAAAATTCAAAGCTAAATATTTGATATATACTGCTATGCAATGAATGCGTTTATTTCGTTTTTAAAAACTAGCGTCTTGTTTATTTTCGTTCTGTTTCCGGTTTAAAGATACGGTTACCAATCCATCTTTCTATCATTACTAGGGAATTTTCCATCTCATTCATTCCAACCAAAAAAGGATTCGAGAGAAGGAGCAGGGTTTTAGTACAGTCAAAATACCAAAGAGGTGGCTCAACAGGGGGGGAGGGGGGGGCTTTTGAGCAAAATTGTTGCAAAAACAATAGCAAAATAAAAAAAGGCTACTTTTCGGATTTACAAGGGGGGTCAGTCTCCTGTGCCCCCTAGCAGTACACCCCTGGTAAGGAAGGGGATGACAATCTGAGTGAAAAAATGCTTTTATCTTCTCTATCGCTCTTTTGACCTATGACAACAATTTATGTCAGTTTCTGTTGCATATAACGCTTACTTTTCTCAACTCTCGTTGACTACATAAACCATTTATTGAACAAAAAACAAAATTTTGTAACGCCAAATTAAAATCTACAGGAGCAAACAGAATTCTCCTTACTAACATAAGCTCGTTCAAATCGACTGATGGACAAATAAAAGTAGACAGAAAAAATATTTCATCGTATTTGGAAACTGGAGAATAATTTCCTGAAAGTCGAGCAATTGCAATTTTTCTATTTGATCAGATCCAGGAAAAGGGGATTCCAGCTGGGAGTTCATAAACTTTGTGGCTGGATTTACTTAACTTGTTTTTAAGTTATCAAGGTGTTACTTGAAGAAACGTAGAGAAACGTCAAGATTTTACAAAATATTGGATGGTTGTCGTCCAGGTAAGAAATACAGGCACCGTACACCACCTTCTTTGTAGGAACTGGGAAACTGGGTTTTTTATTTCATCTAAAACTTCGAGAAAATGTTATTCCAAAGTTGGTCTTTAATTGTTAGTTTGCAAGCTGAAAAAGGCTGGACTCGAGATAATATCTTGTTGCAGAAAAATAGTTAGAATTCAGAAAATTCTGTAGTAGCATCAGCAAAAGAAAACTTCTGAACTAGCACAAGACCCTTTTTATGAAATGAAGATATATTCCTAAAAACAATGTTTTTACATTCTTGTCTTCTATAACACCTTAGCTCCAGCTTGTTCTTAATTGGCTTCAATCTTTCGTGATCTTATAAAATTATTCTTATAAAAACCGCGAGATTTGGTTGTTTGAAATTTCAAAAGAAAGAAAAATATGATAAAACTATAAAAAATTGGTCAATATAATGACATCTAAATAACGTCCAAATATCCAAAAAATCTGATGATATTTTTCTAGCTATTTAGGAAACTTTTGATAGTTATTCTAAAAGCAATAAAATATGTCGAGGCATGGTCGAGTCTGGTTAAAGGTGACTAAACAGTTATCTTAAAAATGAATTCAGGAAATCCATTTTGAAAAGTAAGGACTTCATGAATAATTCATTGACTTCAATGGAAAACGGAAAAAAGTCACTTCCAAAAGCTCTCAAGAGGGCTGTTTAATATAAATTATGGTTCTCTAAAGGTCTAATATATCCAGCATTTTCCAAGAGGATTTTGAGAAGGAGAATTATGGGAGAAGACAAAACGACAGGGGCATGTGTTTATGCTCTCTCCAAAGCTAAGATGTCTTTAACAAAACTTTCAATGTTTGAGTATGTGTAATGTAAAATTGAAACCAAAACTTGTGCAATATATTTATCTAAATATGCATAGGAAGTCGTTGAAACTTCAAGTTACGAAAACATTTGTGAGCTTCAAAAATAAACTCTTTCAAAAAAAGAAGAATAGAAATGGTTCTTCTGGACGGCCGGAAAATACTTCCATATTTGTTCTACTTGTTTGAGATTTCTTTTTTATAAGTTTAGAGTCCTATCTTAAAATGATTCAAGAGTCAGATGGAAGGAAAATATTTGAAATGCTTTAGTTGAAATCAGGAAAGTTATGAAAATGAACAGGAATGAAAGAAGTTGAAATGCTGATAACAAAAGGTTTAAAAAACATTTTACGACAGCGTCTCTTGGTAAGAACCCTTTTGGAAAAAATATAATTGCAAATGGCTATTGAGGAAAACCTGCGAAACTTTTACATTTTCATTAATAGCTGAGAGAGAAGCATTGAAACGATATTGGGAGGAAATTCTTGCATGTAATGCCAGAAAGAGAAGGAAAGTGTTGCAAACAAAAATGGAAGGAAACTTCAGCATGTAATACCAGAAAGGA